GGGAAGAGAAAAGGGGGATGGGTATCAAGAAGGGACAACAAAATGACCGATCTTGGGAATGGAGGGAAAACACAGGCATCCCATGTGCACACTTTCAGAGGGAGGACATGGGGAAAGGCATGAGGGAGTCAAAGAATGAATGTTTATTTACCTTCTGTTACTCGTCAGACTACGCTACAGCTGGCATTTTTAAACCTTGTCCTTAGCCTGGTATCTGTTCAACATGTCACATGCCTTATGGTATTTAGGCCTCACAGCTTCTCATTTTATAGATAAGTGAGAAACTGAGGCTTACAAAATTGATTAATTTGCATAACCCCACTGTCTCAGGCCATGCAGGTAGACTGCTATAACAATGCCTCAAAGACTGTGGGTTGCTTATAAACAACAGAAAGTTTTTCCTTGGGGTTCTGAATGCTGGAAGCCTGAGATCAGGTGCTGGGGCGGTCAGGTTTTGGTGAGAACCCTTCTTCTGTGTCCTCACATGGAGGATTATAGGGGCACTAATCCCATTCATGAACACTCCAACCTCATCACCTATGTACCTTACAGAGGCTCTACCTCCCAAGACAAGCTCAAGAGGGGTGAATGGGATTTCAAGATATGAATTTGGTGGAAAGGGACGCAAGCATTCATTCCATTATAATCACTTAAGAGTAAACAACAGGACTAGAAACCGAACTTCAGTATCTTGGATTCCAGAGCCATGCTCATAAAGCACTGCCTGGCATCTCCTTCAGGCTGGGGAATGTCACTATGTCACATAAAGCTGACGGAGCATTTAACAGCGATCTCAGGGCTGACCCATTGTGATGAGTTCACCCACCCACAGACAGACAGTCAGGCACCTACCTACACACCTGCTTACCCCGCAATGATACTCAGGAAGGCTCTGTGAAGAAAACTCAAGATAGTGAATTATATAAATAGAAAATCTTTTTTATTAAAATAATGTGGCATTGTCCTGTAAAATCTTTTTGTTAGATGTCATCACATTGGGACAGCTATTTCAACTCTTTAGTAAACTCTGACTTAGTCTAATGTTGAAATTAACTCCTGACCTTCAATCTCTTCACTGATAAAAAGGGGGTAGCTCCTGGCTTCAAGGAACTTCCGGTCAAGAGGAGGGGACAGTTCATACACAAACTAGAGAGAGAAAGGCCAATGACTGGTGGGTGGGAAAAGGAAGCAGGTTGGAGTAGCAAGTGTGGAGTGGAGGTTTAGCTTGTAGCCAGGCTCCAGGTTAGAGCTCTGATGTAATGGAAGGTGGTGACACCTTCAAACTTCAAACTATAACCGTGTGCACACATATGCCCCCACTGGAGTGGGGGTGCCCTCCAGGGTAGGGACTGGATCTTATTTCCTTATCTTGCAGGATAGGTTGTCCTCTTTGTCCTCCCAGCTGCGGGGGCTTGCCATAAGAATCGGAGTTCAGGTGGCACAGGGGATTAAGACACAACCTATAAAGATGTCCACAGCCTCTGAAGCATGAGTTCGATTCCTGGCCGGCCAGGGAGCAAACCACCTGGCGCAGCAGACCTCTCCTGACTTGCCCGCTGCTCCCCTCAGCAGTGTACTTTGGTCAATCTGCCTGTTCTGTTCCTCACTCTGTCTCTGGTGAATCCTCTCACCCCACTCCCACCTCTGGCCTGTACCCTAGCTCTTGTATGCATAAATAAATCAGTATTAAAAAAAAAAAAGAATCAGAGTTCAAGCAGGTTGAAATTGAGTCAGGGCATAGGTAGAAGTTTCCCTCAGGAGAACATCTATAACCTCCCCCAACCTACCTTCTTCTCACCCTAACATTCCTAGTACACATATAGCTGTACCTTCTGTGTTCCTCCTTGGAAGGGACCTGGGAAGAAAATTTTAAGACTATTCCCATGGTATTGCTTTACCTGATTCCCAGTTTTACTCCTTTTTTTTTTGCAGCCTCAAAACTCTTGAGAAAAAAGCCCAAGCCCCCCTGAGTCCCTCAGTTGATGCTGCACACAAGACCTTCCCCAGTTTCCAGTCACTCAAGGTCCAAGATGCTGAAGCACTTTTCAGCTTCCAACACTCCAAACACTCAACACTCGTGTGCACAGATCCCACCAAAGGAGAGGGGGTGCTTGATGTCTCTAAACCCTATTTAAGTTGCCGCAGTGGCTGTGGTGCCCTTCGGCCATGCTCCATAGTTTAGTGCTGCTCAATTACTCAATTACTAGGAGCTGCACAATTTTCATCAGGAACTTCTTGCTTAAAATGCTTCTAGAGACATTCATGCCCCAGTTCCAACTGGAGCTGATGGAGAGGCGCAGGGGAAACTTTAGACAAACCCCAGGCTTCTAAATGAACAATGTCAACTTAATTGTTGCAAATCCAGCATGGCTGCCAAATCCTCTCCTTTCTTGTTTCTGTAAGGGGAAACTTACAGGCTGAAGGACACAGGTGGGCAGTTGGAATCTGTGTCCTTACTTTCTGGAGGATGCACTGCAAACATGATGTGTGCCAGAAGAATAGCCAGGCCGGCTGGGTTTCCAGGCGCCACTGTGTACCCTCTCCATTCCACTGATACTCTTTCTTCCTTGTACCCTGAAGGCCCTTGCTGTTGGCCTTTGCCAGTCAATGTAAACTGGCACTTCAAGTTGAATAGACCAGGCATTTATTTTCTGGTAAGTCAGGCTTCTGTCCTGCCTGCACCTTTGGCCTGCTTTTGATTCATGTTGCCAGCAGCGGATACAACAGTGGAAACTGGCTAAGCTTTCTGGAGGTGTTAGTTGTACATAGTGCTCACTTACATTTAGGGCAACAATTTTGAGTTTCCCCAAACGTTTTCCATGCATTAATGATTTCACTGTTTCTTCAGCAGGTTGGAAGAAGGAACATCTCGTATCTGTTTCACAGTGAAGAAAGCTGAGGCTCAGACTAGAATGACTTGGCCAGAGTTACCTAAGGACTTCAAAGTGGAAGAATAAGAAAACAGGACTATTGGCCCTTCGTCCAGAGACTTTTGGCAGTCACATAATCTTTCTTATTATCTCACTAATAACCAGATAATCATGTTGAAGAAGAGAACATTTTGTGTGTCCAGGTCATGTTCTCCCATCACATAAAGGAACTGCATACTGACAGGAGAGTGATTTCTCAATTGCATCCTTAGAGCTCTTCCACCTTGACAATTACTCCCTTCTCCATGCTACCAATGATTTGTCTTCTAATGAGAAACAGCGAAAGTGAGAGCCATTTCACTGTCCAGCTAGTGGCACAAAGATCAGCAAAGTGGGAACTGGGTTGGATTCAGTAGCATCATTTTAGGACGAGCAGTGCTGCCCCCAGGGGTGCCACATCAAGGATGATCAGGAACATGGAGAGCTTCCCAACTGGGTTTCAGGCTACACCATGTAATGTCCAGTAATTCCATGACTGAAAACTGAGTGACCATCATATATTTGGTTTTTAAATCAGGCTCTGTGAGCTTGGGCTTAAGATTTTTAAGGATAGGTCTAAGATGATTCAAGGGAAAGCAACAGAAAAGAGGGAAAAATATCTTCATTCTTGCCCGCACATGAATGACAGGTAAAGTCAAGAGTGAACGGAAAGCAATTCCTCCAGGACCAATTGGTCCTAATCTTCTGTCCTCTGTTAGATGCTGTTTTAAATCCAGAGCTTCAGGAACTGTCTGCCAGAAATCACTGCTGATGGCCGCCTTCGGTCATTACTTTGGTCATTTACAAACATTCATTGAGTGGCGCTATCGACTGGACTGCTGGGACACAGTGATGAGTGAAAGATAATGCTTTGCTTTTCCCACCCAAACTTGATTTTATTCCATTTTCTGGTTGCCCTCACTCTTCTCCCAGTGACCCTCCCTGCCCTAGCTCTACAGTTCTGATTTTTGTCATTTGCACCATTTTTGGGCAGACACATGAGAGGAGCAATTACTGCTGCAGCAAAACATGCTATTCCATCTCTGCCATGACCTTGCTAACGGAGCAGAGGCATGAAGCTAACCAGATTTCTCCAATAAGTTTTCACAGAAAGGTTTTCCAAAGTAAAATCAAAATGACTATGATGGAAGATCAGATTTCTCTAATATTCAAGCAACAAAAGGCCCAATTTACTCTTGTGAAGCACGTAGCACCTCCTGGGGTACACAGGAGAATAAAAAAGAGAGACAGTAAGTATCTAAAAGCAGGAGATGTTTCATCAGGGATGTCTTAGGTCTTCAGGATTAGTAGGGCTCCTGGACTTAAAAGTCAGCCCTACATGACTTAACACCTAACCCTATTGTTTTAGGGAAGGATACAATAGGTGCTGACAATGATGGTCAGACTCAGAAAAAATTACATCCCATAGGGTTTGTACTAGTTAGCCGTGTGTTATGGCTAGATACCTACAAATGCCCTTGCTCACTAGACTGAGAGACTTTGGCGGTGGGCAAGAACAATGCTGTTTGACTTTGTTCTCACTCTGTATCTCCCAAGCAGAAGTTATGAGATAATGTATGGAATTAAAATATGTTATCTTCACTCATTTAGGAAAGCAATTAAGTGTAGATTCTTTAAAAAGAGTTCTGCCCCAAATCCCTAAAAAACAAAAAGTTTTCCACTTAGACTTTGATAATTAAAAAAAAAATGCCCTCTTTAAGAATATAATTCATGCATCTCTGACAATATAAACAAAAAGTTCTGGAATATCCTGAAGTTCTCTCTCGGGACCACCGGGATTAAATATTGCAAAAGAAGTGTGACCCACATGGCCTGTTTGACAAAAGCCATGAGTACCATGTCTTGCCTAAATCAGTGTTTTGAGTGTGTTGCTCTATAAACAGCTTGTTAACTTAACATGACAGGACCTATACAGAAAAAAAAAAGCAAAACTATATAACAGTTCACCATTACCAAAAGGTAACAAGCTTATCAATAATTAACCTGCCTCCAAATTTCCAACAATCATTATTTTAAGACTAGTAGCAAGGCCTCCCTTCACAGATTTATTGAAAATAGGTTGCCCTCCTATCAGCTCACCTCCTTTCCTGTAAAATGGGGATGAATGTGGTTCACTTTGAATAGGCTGGTGGACAATTGCTCAATTTTTCCTCAGACAATTTGGGTTTATCTTGTAAATCCAAATAAGGACCAGCAGAAGTCATCTCTCAGGCAGACAGTGACTGCCCCCTCAGCAGGAGATAGGATTTATGCCTTCTTTTGAGTAATATTGTATAAAAAAAAGCTTTAATAAATACACAAACATCCCTCCCGTTCCCAGATTAATCATCTGCCACCATGCCCAGCCCCCAGTATGGTCACAATCTGGCCACAGATTTTATTTGGGTGTAATTCTCTTGGGCACTTGGATCTCAAAGCTTGCAGAGTGCTGTCTGGTCAGGGCGTCTGGCATCTGTTCTGCATGGCAAATATCCTTTAAGTGCCAGTGAGTCCTTCTCCAGGGTGAGTCTATGATTGAAGACAGCTTTCCTTAGCTGCCCTGTGACAACTGGGTCTCACTTTTCTTGAAACTAGATCTGTGGAAGGAGTCTCTGAAATTAATGAAAGAGAAAGGACAGAGGCAAAAAACATCAATTAGTCTTTCAAAGAGGGGGTAAGAATCACCCACTATAAAAGGACATCGATCATGGGGAACTCAGTAAATAAGTGAGGTTGCTGAAATCCCTTCACACTGAGCCGGAAACAAAACAAAACAAAACAAAACAAAACAAAACAAAATAGGCAGCAATTGGGCTTTGGGAAGCCCACCGGCAGAAGGCCAACGTGAAGGGATCCCAGGTGGGTCAAGGAGAAGTTATGGGGAGGATCAGGATAAAGGTTGAACAGATCATGTGCTGTTGGCTTCCTTGACGCCAGCCCGCTCCCAGGCCTCAGAGGGTCTGCAGCTTGCAAATTGCACCAAGGCCTGCCCTGATTGCTGGGCCCCCACATCCTGTCCTTTATTCCCCCAGAAAGAAGCCTCCTCTGCCCTGTTCTTACCTCTTTTGACTTTCAACTCTGAATATTGGCTTGTACAGTTCTGGGATTTTCCGCTCGATCATTGGCCTGAGGTTCTCTTTAAGCTTGTTGTAGTTCTTTTTGAGTTCCTGCTGGTATTCTCTCTGGTCTGCTGCGATAAGACGCTTGTTTTTCTCTACAGCTTCACCACATCTGAGATGCAAATATCAGGATAGGGAAAGAGGAAGGAGACTTTATTTCATATTAGTCTGAAGTACTTAGAAAACTGGGGGTCATTATACTATTAATAATTCTTGACTACCTCCAGGAATGTTTGCAATTTGATGGGTAGTCAGGATCACCAATGGAGCTTTCCAAAAATCAAATTCTTAGATCCCACTTCAGACTTTCTAAGTGAGAATCTAAATATGAATCTAAGGGTTAGCACCCAGGAATCTGTTTTTGAAAAGTTGCCCAGGCAATACTGATGCTCTGATTATACCAGGCACTATGCAAGGAATTTTACATGTATTATCTGGCTAATTTTTCCAATCATCCCAGAAAGTCAGCACTTATTTTTATTTTGTCCCTGCAGTTAAGAAAAAGTTAGGTAACGTGCCCAGAGTGAAGAGCTGGTTGATATGAGATTCAAACTCAGGCCACTGCAGAATGGAACTTGTTATACCTATTTTAAAAAATGATTTCTAGCAAAATGGGAGATGGGGCAAATGCCATTCTGCCCCTTCCCTCTACATACTGATCAATGTGCTAAGAAAGCACAGCAGAAAATTTGGTAAATGAGAATGAGAAGCCCCAAGTATCAGAAAAGAGAAAAATCAACATCAAAGTGATAGCAGGCAGCTTCAGGAGAACCATACGTAGGATTTCAAGTCGGCATATAGATTCTGGTGGCTGGGTAGAGGGAAGTTCAATGCCCACACAAGAGAAGTGATGTAGTGTTGGCCAGAACAAAGTGGGAGTCTGGATATTTCACCTTGAACAGCTGCCTCATCTATGAAAAGGTGTCTGAAAAAAATGCTGCCAACTATCCAGAGCAGTGGGATGGAAGCCTGTCATCAACTTGGAGCCACTAATGGGAAAGTCACCTTGAGAAATTGAAACTTCAGACTTGTCCCACACATGGGAATGACTTACAAATTTACACTCCTCTATTTTGGGTGCTCCAAGGCAAGAAATTAACTTCAAAACAAGACCAAGGTTACAGAAACATCTTACAGCAACATCTAGGGTCCTGACATACAAAGTTGCTCTGGAGGAACAATTTCTTAACCAGGGCACTTGGGCTTTCCAAGAGAAAGACCAACCCTGGCAAAGTTGAGCTCACAGTAAAAAAGTGACAAACCCCATGAGGAAAACAAGCACCATGAGGGAGAACTATGAGATGCAACAAATAGAAGAATTAGCCCATTAAAAATCAGAGGTCATAGAACAATATAAAAGCAACATTGATATAAAAATGAAATTATAGGCATAAAATTCATGATTCAAAAAATGGAAGAGTATGAGCAAAGAGGTAAGAAACATTCAGGAAAAAAAAATAGAAATAAAAATGTACTTCACTCGAATGAAGAGGAAAACCCCCAACAGACAGTTTAAACAACAGCCAAAACTGGAGAACTCATGAACTCTATGACGATTCTAAAGAAATCACCAAAGAGATTTAAAAAAAGCTAAGAATATTTTTAAATGGCTAGGTAGCCTGGTAATGATATCATGGAAATGTTTGACCACCTTTAGAAGAACTTCTCAGAGAATGAAAAGTAAGTCAGAGGCAATATCAAAAAAGATAATAGCGGATACTTTTCCAAAGTGAAAACAGGTAGGAATCCTCTACTCAGTGAAAACAGATCTATGCCCAGTCTCATAGTGACAAATCTGTAGACTATAAAGATTAAGAGGACATATCTTTATTTAAAATTCGTGTTTATTTATGGCTCAATAAAACAAAATAAACAATCCAGTCAAGAAATGGGCAGAAGAACTCAAAAGACATTTCTCCAAAGAGGAAATGCAAATGGCCAACAGGCATATGAAAAAATGTTCAATATCCCTTATAATTAGGGAAATGCAAATCAAAACCACACTGAGATACCACCTTACACCAGCAAGAATGGCACATATCAAAAAAACAAGCAACAACAATGTTGGCAAGGATGAGGCCAAAAAGGAACTCTCTGACATTGCTGGTGGGAGTGTAAACTGGTCCAACCATTGTGGAAAGCTGTCTGGAGGATCCTCAGTCTACTAAAAATGGAGCTACCATATGATCCAGCAGTTCCACTTCTAGGGATCTACCCAAAGGACACAAAAACAGTGATTCAAAAGAGCACCTGTACACCTATGTTTGTTGCAGCACTATTTACAATAGGTGAAACCTGGAAACCACCTAAATGCCCAAAATAGATGACTGGATCAAGAAGATGTGGTACATATACACAATGGAATATTAGTCAGCAATCAAAAAAGATAAACTCATGCCATTTGCAGCAACGTGGATGGAGCTAGAAGGAATTATGCTCAGTGAAATACGCCAGACAGAAAAAGAAAAATATTGGATGGTTTCATTTATAGCAGGAGTATAGGGGAACCCGATAAGACATGAGTGTAAAAAAATAATAACAACAATACAAAACATAATAAAGCAAAAGCATACAATTATAAACCAGAGACATCCTGCAGGGGAGGAGGGGGGAAGGGATGAGAGGAAGGGAGGGAGGAGCACAGGGGACTGTGGTGATGGTGCACAGGTGCCTTGGGGAAGGAGATTCTATGGGGACTCAATCTGAGGGGGTAAGGGAAGCAAATATTGTGTAAAAAATGTAAAAAATGGTAAATGTTAAAATAAAAAATTAAAAATAATAAAAAAATTATCTTTCAGGAAAAAAAATTTAAAAAAATCGTGTTTATTTGACTTACACACTGTTAAATCTAGTGTTTTCATGGTCTCCTACATGTATCTAAACATGAAAAGTCTTGCCTTTTATACTGTTCTACCCTAAGGAACTTATCAATCAACAGACATTAAATGGACAACATAATGTTTGAAACGTAGCTGACATGCATTAATTAGGAATAATTCTATTAAACTTCAAATGAATATGATTCTGGTGATCCATGTAGTTTGCACTGTTTTCCTAACAGTGTTGCTAGATTTGGAGCCAGTTGTGGAGACACCCAGACCTCATTGCCAAATCCCTCCTATGGGCACTGAACACACGTTCTGAATGACAAAGGCCAGGAGGGTGGCATGTGAGTACGGGGCAGGAGGAAGCTGGCATAGGCAAAATTAAACCTATGACCACAGCTTCATCACACAATTGGTCTGCTATGGAAGAATGACTGAATTTAATTCACCCAGAAGCCAAAAGAACTCCCTTACCTGGATTTTCACTGATCTTTTAAGTTTCACATTAATTGAAGCAAATTAAATTGAAACAAAGCAGTATAACTGGAGTTACATATCAAACGTTTTGGGGAAAGGACAAGAAAGGGTGATATGGTTAGCCTTGGAATCCAAAGAAATCTACATCACCCCCTTATCATTATTTAATTTCTTCTTAACATGAGCAATCCCATGTGTAAAATGAACCTGTCTCAGGGTGACTTTGGGATCTTGGTTGGAAACAGATTACAAGAGCCCTGCAGGATCTAACTGCTAACTTGGGGGGGGGGCGGGGGTCTACTCTGAAAGCTTCAACAGTTAACAAAACTCTCTAATTCTCTTGAGTCTTTGGATTTAGAAGCAATAATAGCCAGTTAGCATATACTGATCGTATACACGGTGCCCAGAACCAGATGGAGCTGGGGTTGAAACCTGTTGCCACAATGACTTAACCACTGAAATCCTGTGTTCTCATCTGTAAAATGGCAATAAGAATCTCATACAATTCCCTAGGAGAATTACATGAGAAGCTGTGGTAATAAGGTAGATCTGTGCTTCTGAAGTGCTCCAGACTGTATTTTTCAAAAATGGACACAGCAGTAATTGCCCATGCTACCTGCTCTTCCGGAACCTTGCCACACACCCCATCAAGAAGAAGGGAGTCCCTCCCAATCTTCAACACAGTGAGAAAAAAAGGTCTATTGTTCAAGCCACTCAGTCTATGGTATATGGTTATTTGCTATACCAGCTTGAGCTGACGAAGAGATAAAAGAACATTTAAAGACATAGATTGGCGCAGATTTCAGTGTCTGAAATGGTTTGGGTGCCTTGGTGGCGGGGTAGGGGGAGAACACAGGAAGGAAACAGAATGTTGTATCTCTCTATCTTGGCTACTGAAACCCTGAAGGTGTTTTTTCTTATCTCTGGAACAGGCAGAAAGGATTGAGGTCCCAACTTGGCAACCATCCTATGCACTGCAGGTCTGGCTGGATACCCATCAGTTGCAGCAAGTCAGCCTGTCAGGTTCTTCATGGTTGCATCTGGTTTGGCTACAGCTGAGTCAGAAAGTCCACTGCCCAGTGATGGGTTCCAGCTGCAGTGTGCCTGGCAAAGTAAGTATACTTCCGCTACAGCAATCAGCACTGGAAGGTGCACTGATGTTCCTCCGGAAATCAGGGCTTATCAGCCTACAGCCCAAGTACACCGAGAAGCTGGAGCTCACCCAAGGGAAAATCTGAGAGCTGTTCAACCCCCAAACATTCTCCACTCCTATGTCACCTCTACTCTTTGAAAGTGGAGGGGAGAATGTGAGGGAAGAAAACACACGGGTGCAAACAACTGACAAGACAGTTACCCTCTTCATTAAAAAACTGTAAACTTGCTGATTGGGCTTGAGAACCAATTAGGTAATGGGGGAATGGAAGGTTGCCTCATCTACTATTTATATTGAGGGTGCAATTTACATAGCATAACATTCATCCATGGTAAGTGTATAGTCTGATGTGTTTTATTGAATTTATACAGTTATGAAACCTCCATCACATCTCTCCTGCCACTTCTGATTTATGTGGCATAGAGTGGAAGGAAAGTGCACCACTGTTTACACTGGGAAATGAAACTGTAAAAAGCACAATTGTTTTGCTAAGAGGTCTTGTCTCACTTGAATTGGGACTTTATCACACACCTATAGCACAGTGCCTGGCACAAAACATGGGTTCAATAAATGTTTGCTGAATGAATAACTGAACTGACATCTGTGATTCAAAAGGATAGCAGTTTGAACACATTTGCCACTTTGAGGAAAGGGAAAGAAAAGTAGGTGAATGACAAAAGGGCTGGATTGAAAGATTAAGCCAGTGGGGTTGAGGGGAGGAAGAGAAATGTGAGAGGGAGGCGATCAAGCCACCTCTACAGGTTTACAGCCTCTACTCAAATTTTGGTCTCATCCAGCAGCCTCAGGGTAATCAGGGAGCTTGTGAGAAGTGCACCCCAGACCTGCTGAATCTGAACCTGCATTCTGACAAGATCCCACAGACATATATTCACAGTGAAGTTTGAGAGGCTCTGATAAATACTTTCGTGGCATTTCTAAACCAACACAGCAACCCAAAGATGGAAAATGTGAGTTGACAACCTGTTTTCCCATGTCAATCACCAGTGGAAGGGAGTATAGCATGCTAAAGGAGGAATCTGATTTTGAAAATCCAGCATTTTTTCAGGCCATCTGGGAAGAAAGATAAATCACCATCAAAAGTCTAATGTCTGACTTTGTTAAGAATAAAGGACCATCTCTAGGAACATCCGTTTCCTTTTCTGTGTCTTGTCAGGAATTAGTTTTAAATCTACTCTGTGTCTCTTTGTAGCCACTTGTCCTGGGCCTGGGAGATGTTTAGTAAGCACATTTTAACTAAGAAACAAAAATCACTTATCTTAACAAGTTTCCTTTCACTAAATTCTATTTAGAGCCCCATTTATGAATGCCACCCGCCTTGTCTAGTTGGCTCAGGAGAATGCACTGCTCTTGCTCACTCAGAGGAGCCCAGTGGCAGCAAGGACATCCTGCCTCTGTGAGTCTTGTGGGCATGCAGATTCCCTTACCAGGAAAGGCTCCCTTTCTCCCCTACCCCTTACTTCCACCTACATATTCAAGATGTGGTCTAAGTGATGCTTTCCACAAAGCCTCCCAGTCACTACAGCCTGTAACCAATTGTTCTTTTCTGACTCTATAGGCCTATAGTTAGTGCATTCCATGGTCTCAGCACATGCTGCACTGTGTCCTGTCATCAGAGCAGAACCAGGTCCTCTCACAGTGCCTCTCACACTGCATCACAGTATGTGCATGAGACATTCTATGTCCTTTCGAGGTTCAGAGAGGCCTGGCCAATGCCGAGTTTTGGGGTCTTTTGCTATAACTAATTATAAGTGCAGATATGTGGAAAAGAAATAAATCTTCCAAAATTTCCAAAATAGTTTTCCAGTGTTTTGTTCTATGAAAATATGTTACTTATGGAAGAAAATTTAGCATTAGTGTAATGTGAGAATTGTTAGCAAATACAGGGAACAATTCAAGACATCATCATTTCTGTGTGTAGGTGCATGTGTATGTATGTGTGTGTTCATATACACACACCCCCCAAGCATCTGTAATTCACTGCAGGGCAAAGTATGTCTTCTTTAGAGGCTTCATTAAAGCTTGTGAAGAAGGAGAAGATAAGATAAAATTAAGTCACTGCACGACATGGGAAATAGCCACTGTCCAGAACCTCTCAGGCTCTGATGCATCAGTGGAATTTCAGCACATTGAAGGAAGTGTGGCTTGTTGGGTTCAGAAGACCTTGATCTGAACTCAGCTCTGCTACTAACTGACAGTGTGACCTTAAGTCAAAAAGCTCTAATCTCTGAATCTCTGTTTTATAAAATGAGCATGATGATAATGCCTGTTTTACCATGTGACTGTGAAGCATGGGTGAGATGATAAACACGAAAGCATTTTACAGTTTAAGGCTTAGTTACTTAGTGGTGATACAGGTGCTTTATGCAGCAGCTCTTAGTTTTGAGCCTGTACAGGAATACCCTGGAAGGTTTGTTATTAAGACAGATTGCTGGTGCCACCTCTGAGGATTCTGATTCAGTAGGTTTTAGTGGTGCTTGGTAATGGGCCTCTCCAGCAAGTTCTCGGGTAATGCTGAACCTATGGTCTGCTCTACTGACTTTCCAACCGTTTCCCTTCTTACCGCATTATGAATTCCTTAAAACATAATCTCAACTTGTTGTGATGCCGATAGAGTTTTGGATCAGCTGGAATTTTGTCCAGAAACACTTGGGCTACTTCCAGTGGTCCCTGACAGAAAAGTAAGAAACAAACAAACCAATACTGACATTAGAAAGGGAATTAAACTGCATAAGAGAAAATGTTGGAGTGACTTCCTCATTGGAACATTTCATTTTGTAGATAGATGAAACAAACCAACCACGGAAGGTCTTGAACTTTTCAGGAAACTTTGATTCCTTAGCAGGAATCTGGAATTTTAGGAGAATACGCAAAAGTATAAATTTATTTTCTTGATCAATTGCTACTAACAGTTTTCCTTTTATATACAAATGCAATACACAGATATCAATGGGTTCATATAGGCTTTGAGTTGCTTTTCTAGAAATGGGGATTATCTTGATCCATCCAGTCTTGGTCACTTTTCTAGTTGTTCTTGTGCTGAGCACCATTTCTGCAGGAATTGGCATGATTACTTATGTGGTCCATGGTGACAGGCTTAAAAATCTTCCATTTTCATCAAAGGATTGGAATTTGCAAAAGCAAAAGTTTCTTAAAATTCTCTGATCTTGGAAATATAGTAGTCACAACTTCACTTGTTATTTTTTGCTCCCTTGATTTTACATGGACACAGAATTGTTACAGGGGAGTTCAGTCGTGCTGACTACGAAAGAGTCAAATTATTCATTCACATTTTCCTTGGGATGGTGTGCACAAGAGTGGACCTGGATAGGAAATTAAGGAGGTCCAGAGACAGACAGTAACCTTCCTCCTTCTAAGACTGGTTTATTTCAATGCTGAGCTTGGGAGTTAGAGTTCTAATGAGTCTGAAAATATCCAAACTGGCTTGAAGTAGCCCAAGAAGCCTGGTTCCAGGTCACTCCTAGTTAGTAGGGCCCAGCCATGCTGGGTTCATCTGGTGACAGATCTGGGGGTTTCATGTTCTATATGCTTTCTTACCTCCCACTGGTATTCCTACATTAGTCTCAAGCTCAGCAACAACTCTGCCTAAACTGGGCACTACTAAGCAGTCTTCAACAGGATTCCAGATCTGGGTTCTGTTGCCAGGTCAGTCCCAAATGAAGATCTCGCTGAGAAAATGGTACTCCTTAGACATGGGTTACTCTTCTTTAGAATATGTTTGTTACTTGGATTGTTACATGAAGCAGATGAGGCCTCCTCAAATTCTTTTAAACCTTTCAAGTGTCCAGTCTAAGTTTAGAAGCATCATTTATATGTTCACCAGGCTCCTCATCAACTTATAGAAGGAAACTGTAGGCAAATAGTAAAAACCAGAGGAGCTGCCACCAGCTCCTTTTGCTCACCTGATTCACAGTTGCTCCAACAGAACCTTGTAGCACCATCTGAAGCATCTTAGCATCAGGGGGCTCCTGGTTAATGGCAACTGCTAACTGCAGGGTCTTCTTCTTCATGTCTTCAATGGCAACTTCAATTGGTGTCAAAACAAACTAAACATAAGACAAAAATATAGGCATCTCATTGTCTGGTCTTACAAGCCATGGACAAACCTGGAACTATGGGAGCAAGGGAAACTGGATTTGAAAAGGCAGCTAAAGAGACTTTCCAAATAATTGAAAATAGCTTGGACAGCTTTAACAGAAAGGAAGTACTTAACATTTCTTGAGTACTTATTATGTTCCAAGAACTTTACACACATTTATTATTTCCTCCTTTAAACAACCTCATTATTCTTTCCATTTTATAGTAAAGAGGGATTTGTCAGGTTAAGTGCTGCAAAGTGACATAAGGAGTAAGTGGAGAGGCCAGAATTTGACCACCATGATGTCTACATTCAAAGTCCTTGTTCTTTCTACAGTCAGGTTTCCTTTCTACCGTTATTGGGTAAGTTACTCAACTTATAATTGGGAAGGCTACTAGAAGCTGAGAACTTGAGATACTCCTACCCACTATAACACTATAACAAGATTTTGGCATCATTTTTGCCTTCTTACCCTAAAGATGAATTCTTAGTAAAAAGAATTCTCTTAAAGGTCAATCTCTAGTTGCTAAGTTCTACTGGTTTGGTATCAGGTCCTTCCTGAACGTTATGGGTGGATTCTTAGCCCTCCCCTGGCGATTCATACACTGAAGTCCTAATCTACTACCTCAGAATGTGATCCTATCTAAGACAGGGTTTTTATAGTAGTAATCAAGTTAAAAGGAGTTCATTAGGATGGACTCTAATTCAATATGACTCATGTCTCTTTAAGAATAAGAGGAAATTTGATACAGAGACATGTTTTGAGGGAAGATGATTTGAAAAGACAGAGGGAGAGGTGTCTGGCTAAAAGCCAGGAGAAAGGCCTGCCTTCCTTAATGGTCCTCAGAGGAAACCAACCCTGATGACATCTTGATTTTGAGCTTCTGGATTCCAGAACTGTGAGACATGTCTCCAAGAAAACAGAGACATATTGTTGCTTGAAGCATGCAGCTCATGGTGCTTTGTCACAGCAGCACTACCAACTAATGCATTGAGTTTCTTGGGGAAATACAGATGTCAAAAAAAAGTTGTGAGGACTTATTGGGACCACAAGTTTATTTCTGTGCTATGGTGCTATGTATACACACCCTAGTGTTCAAAGTCCAAAACAAACATAGCAGATGACTTCCAAACCAGCCTCCTCTTAACAGAGTCACTTTTTCAGGCTTTGTGTGGCTTCTGAGAAACCCACTCTGTTGTGGTTGACTTGCTGAATTCTCGAGCCAAGTCACTTCTGCTTCTGCCCAATGAGGTATGTAGTCACCACAATTCATCCGTGTTTGCTCACCAACTTGATTATGCCTGTTATACTCGTTATTTTAATGATTTAATCTAATTAAATAATGCATAAGCTGATGAACTATGGGTGTGGAAAAAAAAAAAGAGTTGCTTCTATGAAAACCAAGCTCAGTGCTTGGGCAAGACATAATGAAAGTGAGTTGCTATAAAGATTCCTGTCATATTAGGTGTGCATAAGACAACTGTAAAAGGCTAGGGGCAGGGAAAAAAAAATCATTAAAATCCCAGAAGGGTTCTCCTCATACTATTTAATAAGGATCCGTAAGTGCTTGCTGTTCTAGAGAAGCCAAAACTAAAGCTCATGGACAGTGTGCAACGTGGGTGGGGTTTATGCAAGAGTGACAATGATGACTTGTGTTCAGTCAAATCAAAATCACAGCAAAAACTGTGACCTGATTTAAACAGAATGACAAAGAAGTGTACATGCAGCTTAATACTTTAAATAAAATGTAAATAAAGTGTTTACAGTACGTTAAATTTAAAGATTATGAGGCATTCTTGTTTAGTTTTATTACAAAGGGTAAAATCTGTACACAAAAATCAGAGAAGATGAAGACGTTTTTCATGTCAATGTATAGACGAGGAAACTGAATGCAGATAAGTAGTTTGAAAAGGTAACGCGAGGAAGCTGGGGTTAGAATTAAGCAGGACCCCTTGTCTCCCTTGCCAGGTGTCCTTCCTTCAGCCTATTTCTAACACTCGTTGGAGCTGGTCCTGTTTCTAATTATTAAAATTTCAGGCCTTCCTGGTGGCACAGGGCACAGCGCTGTGGAGCTGTCCACAGCCTCTCAAGCGTGAGTTTGAGCCCCAGCTGGCCAGGGAGATACCCATATGGTGTGGCAGACCTTTCCTGTCTCGCCCACTGTTCCCCTCAGCAGTGTTTCCAGTTGGTCTGCCTGTTCTGCTCCCCACTCAGTCTCTGGTGAATCCTCTCGCCCTCCTGTACCTCTGGCCTGTACCCCAGTTCTTGTGTGCATAAATAAATAAATCTTTTTAAAAAACCCCAAAAACAAAAAAAACCCTTCAAATATATCTTTATAATTAAAATATATCTTAAATATTATAGTTATTAAATAGGGCATAAGTTACATTATCATGTAAACACACTTATATTGAAGATAAAACTTGAAAGTGCTAAATTTAAAGTAGTGCTGCCAAGATGAAAATGCATACATTGTGCAAAAATGAAAAATGATGTAAGAAATATATTTAAAAAATAAAAAATATAAAAAAATAAGAAAAGAAACCTTATACATATTTAAAAAAATAAATAAAGTAGTGCAGTAAGACATGTTGCTGCTGAAATGGGATTCTCTGGCACAGGAGAGTGAGTGGGTAAGCACCATTAAAATATTTCAAGTGCGTCTTTTCTTAGTTTTCACTCCCATCATTCACGAAGGAGAGTGTAGGAGGTTGGTGTGTCATCCTGTGAGTTCACCCGGTGCTCTGGTGAGGGGTGGCCTCAATCCAGCACCCTTCCCTCCAGGCATTACCTCCTCCTTCTGGATGACGATGATCCTGGTCTTGATGTAGGGGAAGGCGTGTTTGGTGGTCAGCACCGTGTTCCGCCGGTACTGCTCGTGCAGCTCTCCCCGGGGACGCCCCTCCAGGGTGAAGGGGGTGGTGTACATGAACCTCCGCAGATTGAAATTCTTCTCAAAGTAGGTTACCCTGTCTTTCATCTCATACTCGTCAAAGTAGGGCTCCACGAACGTGATTTGTATGTAGGCCTGAGGGAAGAAGGCCGGGAAGGAGATGAGCAATTCTGCAAACAGCCACCCAGGGCGCTCTGGCGTGGCGTGCTGGGACAAAGAACTGGCACCACCCCTCTGAGGCTGTGAAGCCACAGAAGCTGAGCGCATCAGGGGAGACTGTTGCCACCAGCCTCCCTCCTCTCCTCCTGCAGGGAGAGAAAGGACGGTGAGAAACAGAGGGGAATGTGCTACTGTGAAGTCGGGACCAGAAGCCTTACCTCCTGGGAAAGCTAAATATCCAACTGAAACTTGGTATGAGGTTTTGCAAACGGCTATTCAAGAGAGACAAACTTGCTTTTGAAGGACAACGAAATGCACGCTGACTAGAATAGTTGAACTAAACCCTGAAAATGCCAAGTACTGGAAGGATGCAGAGCAGCTGGAACCTTCATTTTTGATGGTGAGAATGCAAACTGGCACCGACACTTTACAAACAGGTTGGAGTTTCTTGTAGAATTAAATTACACTAACTGTATACCCTATGTGTATGCAAGAGAAATGAAAATCGGTTCACGCAAAAATCGGTACACAAATGTCTATAACAGGATTATTCATAATAGATAAAAACTAGCCACAACCCAAATGTCCCTCAAGTGGGAAATGGATAAACAAATATTGGTGGATATACACAATAGAATACCACTCAGAAATGGAAAAAAAAAAAAAAAAGAAAACACCAACTACTACAACATGGATGAATATCAAAGCAATTTTGCAAAATCAAAGAAGTTGGACTCAAAAGGCCTATACTTCCATATACATGATTTCCTGGAAGGGGCAAAAGTACAGTGGCGCAATACAGATCAGTGACTCAGGGGTTGACAGTGTAGGGAAGGAATTACTACAAAGGGGGATGGAGAAATGTTTTAGGGTGCTAGAGTCTTGTATATATTGATTGTGGCGGTAGTTACTTGTGTTTGTCAAAATTCATAGAACTAGATACTCAAAGAGTGAATTTTACTGCACATACCTTATTAAAAATTGCATACACACTGAGAAGAAGAGCACTTATTAAGAAAAAAAGATTTATTTTTTTAAAAAAGGATGACAATGATCATAGACTGCAACATACACCCACTGAAGTAGATGGGTGAGGTCAGTGACCTCAGACCTGATCATTATTTAGTGTGATGAATCTGGCTGTAATTCTGGGTTCAGATTCTCATTTTATTTTATTTTTTTTTAAAGATTATTTATCTGTTTATACAAGCACTGGGTACAGTCAGAAGCATGGGAGGGTGAGAGAATTCACCAGAGACAGAGCGGGGAACAGAACAGGCAGACTGATGAAATACACTGCTGAGGGGAGCAGTGGGCGGCAGGAGAGGTCTGTGCGCCATGTGGGACCCTCGCCTGCGGCTGGAGATTGAACTGGCGCTGCAAAGGCTGTGGGCAGCTTCACAACCCAGCGCTCAAACGCTGCGCCACCAGGGGAGGCCCCAGATTCTCATTTTAAATGCTCACAACCTACCCTGGGCATTTTAAGGGACAATAGAGCGCCTGTGTCAGGGATGTCCTGGGTGATTCACTGGGCCTGTGCTATGTGCAGATCACCATGGGCACACAGCCAGTCCTGTCCTTCTAGGATCCCAAACATTTCTGTATGAAGCTTGGCTCAATTTTACCACAGTTATTGCTTCAAGCCTAGACTAGGGAATATATCTGAAGTGAGCAAGTCTTCTGAAGTATGTAGAAAAACAAACTCTAAAATTGGGCCAATTCCTTCCCACTTGCATCATCTCCATAATATTCTGCAGGACAGAACGGAGAGATTTTGGACTCCTCCTTTCATAGGCCTGCCAGATGGTAACTGGTCCTCTGTCCCCCAGCCCCTACCAATTGATTTTGCATTATTTTCAACAGCCTAGGAAGCTCTCTCATGAACATATCTGTGAAGTGGGCTGATTGTTACCCTGTGGTATAATAAAGAATATAGCTGGTCTTTGTCGATGTTTCCTGGCATAGAACTTCAAAAAACTATGCAATAGGGCCTCCCTGGTGACGCAAGGGGTTAAGCACACTATGAAGCAATCCGCAGCGTCTGCAGCACTAGTTTGATCCCCAGCTGGTCAGGGAGAAACCCACATGGCAAGGCAGACCTCTCCTGTCTCACCCACTGTTCCCCTCAGCAGTGTATTTCAGTTGATCTGCCTGTTCTTTTCCCCACTCTGTCTCTGGTGGATCCTCTCACCCCCCCGCCAACCATCTCTGGACTGTAGCCCAGCTCTTCTATGCATAAATAAATAAATCTTTTTTTAAAAAACTATGCAATAACCTAAGTGATAGAGTATCATTTCTATAAGAATTAAACTAATTTTACTATAACTTTATTATAATGATTTATAATAATAATTTGTTATTCTAATGAGGTAACTCACAGTAGGACAGTAGAGAGCTTCACAATAAGGGCTGGTCACCAGGAAGGCCAATCATGTTATTAGAGGGTTGAAACTTTGGGTCAGTCTGACCTTTAGAGAAGGTAGGAGGACTGGAGATTGAATAATGTAGTTGTTGAGTATGACTACATAATGAGACCCCTAATAAAAACTCTGGTCACAGAGGCTCGGTAAAGCTTCCTAGTTGATGAACTCATTGACTGGCTAAAAGGTCAGAGAAGCTCTGGCTCTACATGTACTCTTTATCAGAAAACTGTAATCCTCAATAAATCACTTTTCTGAGTCCTTTAGTCTTTCCAGTGAATTATCTAGACTAAGAGGTTGAGGGAACCCCCTAATTTGTAGCCATCTAGCAAAGATATGTGAGTGACCTGGGGGACTTATTTGTGGTTGGCATCTAAGGACTGAACTGTGACTTGTGGAGTCTGGTGCTAACTACAGGTGGTGAGCGTTAGAACTGGACTGTAGTAACCCAACTGAGGGTGAAACAGAAGACACCCTCATGCAAAAAGTGAGGAAACTGAAGCCTGAGACCTTTCCAGAATTCCCCCAACAGCAGTGTCCCTGGAAGGAATACCTGTACCCTAAGCAAGGGTGCTACTAAATGTTGTCAATAAAGTTTGCACCTTTTAAACATGTTTTAATCTAGGATCTAAAGCTATTATAGAAAGGCAGTAAAGAACAGTGATTAAGAGTATGAATTTGGGGATGATAGACCCTGTGTTGAACACTGTTTTTGACACTTGGATGGTATGGGACATTGCTTAATAATTTTATATCTCAGTCGCCTCATCTATAAAATAGGGATAACAACACCTACTTCCAAGGGCTATTAGAGGATGAAATGATGTATTATGGCTGAATGAGGTGCCAGGCACATAGTTGCCACTTTATTGTAGCTCCTATTATGATTTCCGCTGTTACGTGTGGTTTCTTTAAGATATAGCTAAAGAGTAGTTGAGCCCTAGACAAAAGTTTTTGGATGCATTTAAATAAGTTGGAAAACCCAGAGAGAGGAAGTCATTCTGTGTTTACAGGGTAGAGTTAGAGGAGTAAGAACCTGATAATTTCTTATTTATTTATTTAATTTTTGCAAATTTCCCCTTACCTTGTTAGGATCCAACTTGGTTTTGTCCACAGGAGCAGAGTCTTTTATTACTTCCACAAATTCTGCACCAAAACATTGACCATAAAACCCCTAGGCAAGAGAAAACAAGATATTATAAAGGTTATTTTAATATAACCCAACTCTTTGTCTTCTCAGAAGTGAAATAAATTTGGAACAAGTATAAGAGAGAATTTGCTCATTGATTATTGAAAGTCCTTCTGAGCTAATGAGACAAGTTCAGCATTTCCTGAGACAAAAATAGCTTTGACCTCTAATTCAACCAATGCCATCATATTTCCTAAGGCAGCTTTAAGGGTATAGCACTATTTACTTCTTGCCGTTTGTATCCTAGAAACCTGAAGGTGCCCAATGTGATAAACCATAGTGCACAAGAAGACAAAATAAATACTTTTAGCCTTAAGTTGGGAAACATTTTAGGAAGTCAAGTAGCTTGAGGTCAATGTCTAGTTCTCTTTCACATGAGCTAAATGACTTTGGACAAGTCACCAAACCACTCTGGGTCACGGCTTCTTCGAGACAAGCAAGGATTCATGTCCCTTGTCTTACTTAGCATGGGTTGACAGTAGAAGGAGCAATTTGGCAACAAAAGTATTTTAAGTGTTACAGTCATGCAAAGGGAATAAATTCAAAGCAACAGTAAGAAAGCATAAAGAGTGAATCTTTGGTTAATTGTCAACAGTTCAGGGACCACAGTTATTTAACCTGCCAGAGTTTTGTTTTAGGGGTGTCTCTTGATTATCCTCTTGTGTGCTTATTGCTGACACTTTAATTTTCTGTGCCCTTTTTTTCTTACTTTGCTCTATGTTTCTCTTTTTCTTTAGTATTTCCTCCAAGACCATACTGCTCTCTTCTGCTACATTATGGATCAAATGTAAATAGCAGGTTGGGGTGACATTGCCAGCCCATGGGAGAGACACTGACTCTGATTATTCTGAGAGGATGCTCCTTGGATTATCAGGAAGAGCTCGAGGTGCCACAGCCCCTGGTGTAGCTACTGTCAGACAGCTCTGTACCAGAATGGTATGTGTTCTCTAGTGACTCCAGAAGGATGGCCAGAGCATTTTCTACAGGGAATTTGATAATTTGCCCTGATTAATTCAAAGTCAAAATAAAAACCTTCAAATTGAAAAACCATTACTAAAACTTGGAAAGAGTTATAAGAAAGTACAAGGCATTGGTTGAATTTTAGATAGTCTTGAAAATATTCATCATACAAATTTATAAACTTTGATAATCATCCAAAGAAAAGCCTACCCAAATCTTGGCTCAAGAACTTACCTAATACCTTCACATTTTAAATGCAATGTGGAAAAATTTATATAGAGATCAATGATGAATCCAAGACTCTTAAGTTTTTTTATTTTCTTATAATGACCCACTCTAATTTGTTTTTATAAAGTAAACGAAGTCAAGCACATAGAATCACTTTCTTACCTCTAACCTATGAGAGATCTCAGGAAGCTTGGTAATTGCAGGTTCTTTGTAAACATATTCTTGCTCATCTAAATCCCCAAATTTGGATCCATAGAAACCCACTCGAAAGTAGGTTCCAAACATTCTCTTGTGACCCTGGTGAACAAAATTAGAATTTCCCTCCTTAGTTATGTAATTCATGAGGGTCTACTGAGTTACAAAGGGCAGGAGTCTTTTAAAGTCATGTTATAAAGCATTTTATTCCTGTAACTACTAAACAGAAACTGCTTTAAAAAATTCAATGTTAATTGAATAAACCTTGGAAATGGTAACAAAATGAGTCCCATAAGCAATTTCTAGGACTTCTTTCAAGTGAATTTAAGTTTCTCACATATCCCGGTTGTAATGTAATTTGAGCTGCCTTCTTTCATACTCTGAATTTGGGTGCTGTGTCTACCCCCAGCCCTTTTCCATTGGATATGCTCCATGTAAATGATTTCTAGAACGGAAAGATGGCTAAGCATCTCTGGGACAGGGTCACTTGCTGTCAGGTAACAGGACCTGTTGGCCAGGCCCCTTCCCCAGGTACCTTGCTGATGATGCTGTCGAAGGCCTTCTGCAGCTTGTCATGGGTAGAAGTCAGCTTCTGAAAATCTCGATGTGCTTCCAGAATGGGGATGACCAGCTTGTAGACCTCGTTAACTGTCTCGTACAATCCTCCCTAAGGAAGAAGAAGAAAATCAGATAATTTAATCCACTGGAAACTTAAGAGGAGCAAGCAGGGTTCATTATGCACTGCAGAAATAGATTAATTATTGATACCCCAATATTTTACAGAGCAGGAATGATGTCTGAGTATCTTCAGGATGGTTTGCAGCATGCAAACTGAACTAAACATGTGCTAAATCGTCCTGTATGGTGATGTAAAGTAGGAGGGAAAGGACTTCAAGAAGAAAAATCAGGAGAGGAGATTGGCAGCAGGGAAAAAGAGCAATAGAGGATGACATCTCTAAGATATTTAAATGTCATCAGGGGTCCCTGCCCACCCCTTATAGCCAGATGTTCACTGCATACCTGAAGGGAGTTAGTGGGATTCTAACTAGCTAATTTCCTGGAATTTCAGGAAAATCAGTAGTATATTGTGTCTATTTTTTTCCTGAATTCTGAAAGGGAAAGCGGGGTGGGGGTGGGGGGGGACGGGGTGGGGGTAGGAGAGAGAAGACAGAAGATAGTTAAAATATAATTAAAATACTTAGATGCTATAGGGTAGAAGGTTGAAAATGAAAAGTAGAAAAGACCAAAAAAATACGAGGATGAAAAAAAAATCAATCAGCCAAATATGGTATTTATTTGGCTTAAAATAAGGGGGAAGAAAAGAATATTAAAATGAAAATGGCCAAGAGACTTTCTCCCCTGCTCTGAATCACAATGACTTAACCTATATGTTTTCTTTCATTAGCAGTGTTTAGACCCAGATCAGGTTAATAAGGGGAATCTCAGCGGTTTCCTGCTCCCACGTATCTCTGAGCTGATCTCGGTCTGTGAGCAATCTGAGGACTACTCAGTTGTTAGGAGGATGCTGCGTATTTATTCCTTCCTCTCCTAGTGGCTCCACAGCAATAAGAGAAAAAAATGAAGGAGTGAGAACATGTCTCATCATTTATTGTGTAACCCTGGGCAAGCCATTTCACCTCTCTGTGGCTTAGTTTCCACCCCTATTAAAGGGAAGTACTACTGTGAAACAGCTGCCCAGCCAATGAGCCTGCAGTAGAAACGGGAATACTTTAGTGATGAAAGGCTTTATCACCTCCCTCAGGGAGCTGATGTGGTTTGCATACATCAAAATCCTTAAGGCCCATCCCCTGCCCTGTTCACCCCTGTACCTATCATGATAAAATGGGGCTTTGGCTATTAAGACCTGTCACATTCCTGGGAGACAGCCCAAATGCGGAGGACAGGCACGGGGGACCTGCTGTGGGCACTGACCATGCTGAAGAGCTCCACCGCCTGTTCCAGGAGGACCACCAGGCCGTTCTCAGTAAAGTACCGCCCCGAGCACACACCGTCCTCATCTGGTGACAGGGTGTCGTCAGAGACCGCAGACTCCTCAAGCACATTGGAAGAGATATTCTGGAAAAAATGGCAATATAAACCCAGAGAAAAGGTGCACCAGACTAACAGAAGACACCCCAGGAGCCCTGATCCTTACTGAGCTTGTGATTATACAGAGTCTATAATTCTACCCAGAAGTGCTCTAGATGCCATTCTGATAAGACACCCAGAGTAAATGGTCATGAAAACTCACAATGTTCTTTTCTTTTTAACCATTAGCAGATATAAAAGGGACACTTACCTCAATGTAACAACTGCTGAGTTACTTTGGTGAAATAACCCTAATGGACATGCAGCTGTGGTCACAGTTTTGCTTTGTTTTTAAAGCAAAGGACAATTAACAGTTGGCTAGATTTTTTTGTTTAAAGGAGGAGTGAATGTCTGAATTTTAGGGGTGCTTTTCTAAGGTATGTTCCTACTATTAACTTGACTTTCAGGTGAATAGTCGTATTATTATACCATAATAGCAAAGGAGAATGTTTTCTTTTTTTTAAAGATGTATTTATTTATGCATACAAGAACTGGGGTACAGGCCAGAGATGTGGGGGGTGAGGGGATTCACCAGAGAAAGTGGGGAGCAGAACAGGCAGACTGACTGAAATACACTGCTGAGGGGAGCAGCGGGCGAGACAGGAGAGGTCTGCTGTGCCATGTGGGTCATCTCCCTGGCCGGCCGGGGAATCGAACTTATGCTGCAGTGGCTGTGGATAGCCTCATAGGCTGCGTCCCAACCCCTTGTACCACCAGGGAGGCCCCGAGAATGACTTCTTCATGGAAATTTTTATGGGTATGCAGCAGGAAGGAGTTCCCTAGCTCCCATCCCCAAACATTTTGTTCCTTTTTATACACTTTTCTTTCACATAAACCACACTAGGGTGAACAAGTAAGAAACCCAGAGCATAAAATTTAGGGACACTCTCTTAAGGTCATTTGAGTGCCAACCATAACCTTGCTTGCACCTGAGAGGAATGCTCCTTAAGTTATGCACTTCATGCACCTCACTCTCCTCACCCTGTTCCAGCATTGGCAGTGACTCTCATATCCCTAATGAGTATGTAGACTGTCGCATAGCTGTGGAACAAATATTCATAGAGCAGAGAAGAAATAGAAAATCCCAGTTGATTGGGAGTAGGTAGCACACATGCCACTACTTCCTATTCCTTTTCTAATGGCAGACAAAACTAATCAATTACAGCATTCTTCCCCTTGAAACTCGGATACAATCTCAAAATTCTTCATACCAACATGCTGCAGTCAGCTACTACCAACTGACCAAAGTGAGCTTGTGAAGTGAAATCTGTCTTGGCCTGGCTAACAGATCAAGTGAATCAATCTTAGCAATTCTTAAAGAGATGATGATCACAACCTTATATCTTCACACCCCCTATTATAATGTAGTTTGAGGAATATATGAGGCTCTCAATCTTTTATGGTTCTTCTCTCTTCCACACTTGGTCTATTATAGTGTTTATTAATTGGACAAAACAGAAATTCCAAAGAAATACTGTTTCTGAAGAAAAACTCTAATAACCCAAGAAACAAATCCTATTTGAATTTTATGCAATTTTCTACATGTAGAAGAACAAATACAAAGCTATGTAGCATTATTAGTGATAGTCAGAGTAAAAAAATTCTGTTCAGACTTTCCTGGTTTCAGAATTAGGGAGGTAAATGTAACAGCAGTCTCAGAGAATGTATCCATATCTACATTTGTGAAAGAAATATTGCATTCTGGGGCACAGAATTTCGACAATCTCAATTCTTTGGAATCCAGAGTACTCCAAGTTATTTTTCTTGAGTAGATTTATGTATCTATTTTTTATAATTATTTTCCAAATATTCAAATTCAGTGTAGCAGAACAAGGTTGCAAATAAAACCAAAGATCATGTAAGAAATGATCAACACCAAACATCATTTAAGAAATAATCAACACCAAACATCTGTAATTAATGCTTTCCAAAATTCCTTCATCCTCCTATAAAGTAAACTCCCCTGACTATCTTCTGAAAAACCATCTATAACTCCAGGTGTGGACTTCAACTCTGGGTCAGCTAATCAGAGCATTCCATTCCTCTGGCTGTTCTTATTGGTTCAGAGATGAGAACATGATCCCATGAGAACCAAAAAGATGCACTGAGACTTTCTCTGCAACTGCTAGAAATGAGGCATTTCTCTTTTCTCCTAGATTTAAACCTGGGTAGATGTAAACCTCAATATTTCTCAATGAGTATGGGAAGCCTGTGAAGAATGAAGCTAACATAACAGAAAGCAGAGACAGGAAATGGTGATGACACTGAAATCTGATGACATTAGTTTGGCCCCCAGGTTCAGTATGGTAGGTGCTACTCTAAGCTCACCTCCCTCAGGCAAGCTAATAAATTCCATTTTTACCTTACATCAGTCTTGGTTAGGTATTCTGTCACATTTCCAAATGGATTTAGAATGTCTCATTTGAGAGTGAATTCATTCATAAGCACCAACTTAATTTGGCTTCTCTTCTGTAGCTGAGAAGACCTAACTCCCCATGCTCTGTGTATCATAAAGGCATCTCACTTCATCATTCCTCTCTCTGCCTTCTCCTTCAGAGCTTCCCATGACCCCCAGGCTGAGTCATACTAGACACAGGTACAGCATCTTGTACCTCTTTATAAAAGCATTGAGCATTGTAGTTGAATAAGGAATGGAATTATTAGTTACATAATGTCACTCTCCCTGGCTACAATGTAATATTCACGAAGACAGAATAACTGCTCAATAAATATTACCTAAAATGAGGGAATGAATGGATAATGATACATGAAAAAATTGAGCTATGTGCCCTCATGTAGGAACAATGTGCAGTTTTTCTGTTGGTTCTAGAATAACTATTCTATTTTACTTTGGTATCGCTCATAAGCAAATCAATTGAATTCTAGGTCAAAGTAGAATAGCAAAACTTACAAAGACAAAAGTCAATATTGAAATGCAATTAATATTTAAGTGGTAAATATAAGATACAGTAACTGGGAAAAGCATGTGAAAGAATTTAGTCAATGAAATATGAAAAGAGGATTCAATATTTAATACTAAGTGGTAAACCTGAATATTTTCTTGGAATTGAGAGTAGCACTTAGAATGTTTATTTTTGAAAATATCAAAGGGCTAAAATAAATCTGATGATGGAAACAGATATATCTAAAATAATTTTTCTAATGTTTCAAAATCAGATGTGACATTTATATGATTTCTGAGTAAGAATTTAATTTGGGGTTTTTACAACAAATATTCTGAATTAAGAATGAAATTCATTTACTAAGAATGAAATCAGAATAAATATTTTTGTTACTGAAGACAGTACTTAGAGAGAGTTAGTAATATAGGGTGACACCAGCTTGCCAGGTGAACATCACTCTCGGAAATCCAAAGGCCTGGCCCTACCAGCCACAATTTTGGTGACTTATTCTCTAAACCTGGGAAAGCTACTTTGAATTATTCCTCTGATTGGTTCACAGAGTGTTACAATTTTGTGCTTACAATGATAATAAGAACAATGCCTTTCATAAAATCAGTCATGTAAATTAAAACAAGAATAACACAAACACTTATAAGTGACTTTGCAACTCTGGCTTGAAAAGGGTGTTACTGTACCATCTGCTTTGAGGGATGATCATTTCTACAGATTATGTCTCTTTCTAAAAAAGTACTCATAACACTTGTCTTCTCTAAAGACTGTATTAAATTATTCAGCAAACACCATCTAAGTGGCTACGGAGCATCTCAGCCTGAGCCAGCTTTCAGACCTAGCAGACAACTTCCGCAGATTAGCTCTGTGAAATATTCAGCTTATCCTAAGAAAGTACTTATTCAGGCCTTTCCCCATCCCCATGTCAATTTGGGTCTTCATTGATTTGGAGTTAGAAAGTGGGACACTAAATCTGGGGAGTAGAATCATGGAATGGGCCATGAGGGAATCATTTCTCCAGTGTTTGGGAAATACTTCCATGATCGTCAATACACTGTATCAACTGCAAGTCTTTGAAAAAGATTTTAAATGACTTCAGAAAATTTGCTTTCTCAGTTTCTTTATCTGTGAAGTTGGAGGAATGAAACCTTCCCCATCTGCCTGCTTCATTGATTGATGGGGAAGGTCAAATGAAAATAATTGATATGAAAACATTTGTGAGTACCTAAAATGCCATGAAATTTTAGTACATTTATTGTCAATAATATTTTTTTAAAAGCCAGTACCAAGATGCCAAAGCAATTAGAAGAGGCAAATAATTGACACTTAGGTGAGGGATTTCAAACTTGGCACCATAAATGTCTGGAATCAGATAATTCTCTGTGATGGGAGCTGTCCTATGCATTGCAGGATGGCTAGCAGCATCCCTGGCTTATACTAGCTAGCTGCCAAAAGCATTCATCTTCTGAATCCTTCTTTGTAACAACCAAAAATGTCTCTAGACATTGCCAAATGCCTCCTGGGGAGAGGGGCAAAATTGCCCTCAGTTGAGAATCACTGCTCTGAAGTTGGCACCCACCTGGAAGCTGACGCTACCCACGGGCAGGTAGCTGTGGTCCTCCAGCATACTCAGATACTCTGCCACTAAGGCAGCTGCGTGTACCAGGCACATGGCGGCCTCTGTGTAGCACTTCTTCTTGGTATGTTTCTCTGCCATGTTCTGGAGCCAGGTCAGCCGCAGATCAGGAGATGTCTGGTAACTCTTAGCAATTCTGAAGACAGATTGAGAAAGTTTCAAGGACAACTGGCTAATGATATTTTTTCTACTCTGTATGATCACTTTTCAGGAGAAGTCTTTTTTCTCACAAGAGTTCTACATGTTCAGAAAATAAAAGAAAAGGCAAACATTTATCAGTAGCTGTTTTCATTTCATGTCTAGGGTATGCTGCTGGACCCCAAGAAATAGCATTTGGTTAAAGCTCTGTGGGGGAAAAAAACTTGCTAAGATAAGTCTATTTTAATGGGTATCTAGCAATTTTCTTCCTTTTCTTTCTTTCTCTCAAAATAAAAGAAGACAAAAGTACTACCCTTCTTATGATATCACATCAGAATAATTTTGCCTCTGTAAGTAGTTTCTCCTGAAAAAGGAATTCAAGGTAAAGTTTTACACTACAGAATCAAATGTGATTTGTAACTAAAACTGTACATGCATGTGTACATATAACTGGAAAAAAGTATATAAAATAATTCATATGGAAGTTGATAAATTATTTTCTATGATAAGTGAAAGATAATATTATATTATCATTCTATGATAAGTGAAAGATAATATTATAAAATAGGCACCTCACTTTAAATTAGGGAGATCTTTCTGAAAAATTGTACATGAATCAACCTACTCTAATGTTTAAACTCTATACAGAGTTTTGGATGTCATCCAAATTGTAACCACATTGCCTGTGTTTATTACATTGGTAAGAATCTCACAGTGACAGAATCCTAGACCCTCAAGTGATGCCCTTTTAATTTTATCATAAAAGGTTACCTGTACATGAGATCCATAAGCATTTCAGGATCTTCCTGAAATTCCCTCATTTTCACTGTGTCATATAAGATGCTATTCAGATTGCAGAGAAGTTCTTCTATCTGTAAAAAAGTGTATACCGTGAGACAATCTTGGCTTTGCAGTCAATGGCAATGAGTTAGAGTCACATGAAAGTACATGGGCCAGTCATAGACAGGCTTTCCCAAGAGAGTAGAACTCAAAGGTGAGGAGAGGCTGTTGTTCTCTGCCTCCTTTGCAGGTCCAGGTGCTCTGAAGTCCAGTCCTTTGGGTCCATGAATAAGCCCAGAATCCTTATACTATCGTTCTTCTACAATACCTTTTTGTTCAAATTAATTTGAACTAATTTCAGTTATTTGCAACCTGAAAAGTCCTAAAGTGTAGTCTAGCACATCAGGGTTTTTTAGACCAAAAAGGAGCAGCTTAGGACCTAAGCTTAGGTTCTATGTAATATACATAATAACATATAGAAGATATAATAATTACATAACATATCTCATATATAAATATATCTAATATGTAACTACATGTTATATATAATTAATATTATATACTATGTTAAATATAATTATTGAGTATATAATATATATGAGTTTATCATTGGCTGATCCTAAGCCCATGCCTGAGACAGCTCTTCAGTTTACCTGGGCGGGGAAAGGTGTGGTCTGCATGGCTGTGTCTTCCTCTGCGTAGGCCAAAATTGTCCTCAAGGATTTTCTGAGGTGTTCCTCATTAAAATCTGGTGCTTTGCCCACTAAAGATGCCAGAGACATGGTTACCTGCATCTTTACTCTTGCAAAATTCTGCTTCAGGAAGAAGAAAAAAAGATGGAACAAATAAGAGGCACTTAGCTAGTAGAAACTGAAGACAGTAGAGGCAGGCACTGATAACTTTCCAGTATTTCTTTTATCCCAGTCTTAATCATTTCCTTTACCCTCAATGAAATGTGAGCTATACTTTGCGCAAGATTCATATTGTTTAAATGGATATTGCTCTGACATAAATCTGTCAGCTCCCTTTAAAATTTTCATTGAGCACTGGGCTCGTCCATGCTGCAAGGCTGAAAGGTTCCTACAAAGTAGGGTCACAGGAAATCTCTTTCTGCGCCAAGATTCTCTACTTTATTTAAACTGCAATGTGCAACAGGATCACAGTGGCCAGAATACTTGAGATGCTGGAGTCTGGGTAGGCAGCGACTTACTATTTATCCTTTCATTTCAGGTCCATGGAAAAATATGGCTATCCTGAGATCTCTGAGGATTATCCTAAAAGCCTTAAAATTGCTACACCTAAAATCTTATGAGGACCCTGCCTTTCTCCCACAAGCCAATTTATTATTGGGTATCATGTGAATATGCTCATTAACATGACCACAAATGTAAATTCCAAAAGAACATACCAAAATCTAGACAAACTAAAGCAAAGGTGTATTCTTGTGCAATAAAACTAAATTCCAAAGGCTGCTAAGCTTGATACAAATACTAGATGATAATGTTCATTTCAAATATTCTTCCACAGGTCATTCTGATATGAGTCAACCAGATTTAGAAAGTAAATAAACTCTTCTGAATTCTGAACTTGCCTGTTGTATATTTTCCCACAGATGACAACTTTTAATTTACATATATTCATTAATTTCTTATTGAAACATACTGATGGAAACCATTGCATTCATAACTCTTGATATTACTATTAATGCACATTTCAAACAAAAGGTGCTGTCCATCTAAATACTCAATTCTTTCCTTTACACAGAAGTACATGCAACCCTGCAGACTTTTCCTCAACTAAAGCTTTGCACTGACTCCTATTGATTCTGGGTCACCAAGCTGGTCTGGGCTCTTACAGTGGTGGCTCCAAAGCTGAATCTCATCAGGAGATAAAGGGTTGCACAGGCTTGGCTCCGGGTGACATCCATGCTGCTGCTGCAGTGGTGCAGCACTCGCTGGCACAGGTCTGCACACTGCTCCACCTCCTCCTCAAACAGCAAGTCTCCAAACTAGGAGAGACACAGGGGACCATTAGGTATCATTTGGCACTTTCTTATGCTTTCTGTACTGGAAGCCTGCTGAAATATGTAAATATCTTCTTGGACAAGCTGAGTTCAGAGATTTAATACATTGCTCTATAAAGACAATCAGCTACTTGAGTCAGAAGATGGATCGAAGCAATAGAATCAACTTAAAATGCAATTATGAACAGCACAACTAAGACCAGCAAGGCATAATTAACTGCATTGTTACCTAGAGTGCATTCATTGGCAAAGTCACAACTCTGAGGGAATTATCTTGAGTTTATTAGGTTGTCTGGAAATAGAAAAAATTTGGTGACTGAGAAAGAAAAAAATGATCTTGATGGGGGAGAGCAGAACTCTTTCTAGGTGTAAAATATCCCATACAGAAGACACCAATTGAGATTTTCAATTAAGGGGGAAAAAGTAAACTGTATAGACCACTTTACTTAAGGAAAATCTATTCTTCAGACTATAAGAAATCAATTTCTAAATCTGTTTTTTTAATGATTCATTTTGTAAGACTCATTAATAGGAAACACGTATAAGACTTTAATCTCAGTCAGATGAGGCACTGAAGGAAAAGAGTAAAAGGCAAAGTTGTTCAAGTGATTTTTGTTCTCATATCCCCAGTGAGGGGCATATAGTTCAACCCACATTTCAAGAGTGAGAACTACTGTTTTCCTTCCTATGGTGAGATCTCTCAAAGTTCAGTGTGTCTGCTTTCTTCCTAAGAGACCTAAGCCCTTTAATATGATGTCATTTAATGCTCTGCTACTCTGTGGCTTTTGGTAGACTGGGAGAGAGAAGTGTGAAGCTAGATGGGAATCTTAATTCTTAATTAAGAGAACAAAAACAAGTGTCCCATGTTTACCTTGGCAATAAGAGCTCGGAGAGTCGCGAAGCAGTGAGTCAGGTAGGTGGTGCTCTGATCACAGCTCAGAGAATTCACCAGGACCCTTAGGACACCTCCCAGCAGGCTGTCTTTACAGTCCAGAGCAGAACTTGCCTGGGGAGATGGAAGAACAGCATCATTGAGTCCCTGCACTGTGCCAGAGAACTGAGGGGTGAAGACACAACAGACTCTTGATGACTAGCACAGTGCTGCTCACACCTATCTCTCTCTTGGTCAAGGTTCTCAAGGGTTTGGTAGATCACCTCACTATCATCCACTGTCATGAAATCTGAAGACCTATTTCCAAATTACTACTACTTTGGGATATAAGCCTAATTTGGGATTGGTAAATAAGTTACAAGGCACACCTTCCCCCATTCTGGGCAACAGTTTTTGGAATGTTCTCATAACTTCCCTTGTGGACTTCAAAACATAATGTGGGCTTCCAGTACAACAGCGGGTGCTTGGTGACAGTGAGTTTCCTAAATAGAAGCTTACTTATCAGCTCTAACACACCAAAGACAATGACAAATAATTTTCAGTTGTCTTTGAAAATGGCTAATGCATTCTGAGGACCAGTGTTAGGTACATGGCACTCAAAAAGCAGTGTGTGGAAAGATGTCATCAATGCAAGGCTGAGTATTTAAGTTATCAAAAATACAACAGACTTTTTGTCTTTGTTTCTGTAAGATAATTACTATTTTTAGATCACTGAAAGTTGGATAAGCAAGGTTCTATGTTCCAACAATGTTTCTTCTAGCCCCAAAAAGCAATAGAGAAGCTCCTCTAATAAATGGTCTGTCACTGGAAACATGCAAAGAATCATTTTTCAGATTAACTAAAATTCATTATCACCTAGATTTCTTTGGAACTTTGGAAACTTTCACTTAGAAGATGAAATTACTGTAGTGAGTTGTATTACGACAAATGTCATAGTGACACAATACTTTTGGATAGCAGGGATGGCAAATTCAGGGCAGAAGTGACTTTCTTCACCAATTTGTGTCCAAAGCAGACATCATTAATCATATTTTGCACTGTTTGTTACCTAATCTAGTCATAATCTTAGCTCTCATTTCAGACATCAACCATAATTCAACTGGAGTTGATGCACTACAAAAACCTAGTTACCATTCCTCTTTTAAATACTGAACCATAAGCCAGCCCACCATCCACATCATAAATTTGGTATACAATTTATGTACCAAATAAACCAGCAGACCCTACTGCAAAGGTCAGCGTGTTAAGTACCTAATCCTTTTTGAGTGAGCAGTGAGTCAGAGAAACCAGAAGAATGTTCAGCATCTCTGGAATTTGTAAGGAGAACACTATTGTAAATAGTAAACCTCCCAATGTAATTTTTAAAAACGCATTTGGGATCAAGGTTCTTTCTTGCACAAATTTTTCCTTATTCAAGTCCAGTAAATATACTTATTTTAAGGAGTTCAGGTGTTTTGTCCTCACCTGGATAATGTTTTCCTGCATATCCAGGATGATTAAATTTGCTTCTGTAGCCAGATTACCACTGATCAAGGCTTCTTGATCTAACTCTGCCTTTGTTCTAAAAAAACAAAAGAGAGCAAATTAAAGTGCATGTCAAACCTGGCCATATTCCAGTGATGGCTATCTATGCTGCAATGTGGAAAGAAAACTTTGGAAGAGTCAATTTCGACATGAAAACAAAGCAGTCAAACACAGGTAACTAAGGAGCGTGGGGTGTTTTCTGCCATTAGTGTCTCAGAAACATTGTCTAGGTCAAGACTCCAGGCCCACCTCATCCCCCACTATTATAAATAATGAAGACAATTATAAAAATAACAAAATGGGTATAAAAGCAATTATTGGTTTCTGCTAGCAATTAGGCTAGCCCAGCAGATTGCCGCCTAAAGCCTCAGGGCCATTCTTGCATTTCATGCATGAGAACCATCTCTAGATCTGAGCTGAAGGAGCTTCTGCAACAAGCTGGTGGGAGTGGCTGGGTGTAATGTGAAGTTGGCACAATGACACTGTTGGGCCAGGAAAGGATGATGCTTCAGATGTGCATCAGGAAAGAGTCAGTCTCTTGACTTCCCAAAGACCCCATGGGGTTGTTCAGTCAAGTGGCAACCTTTGTCCCTTCCCACTGGAAAGAGGTTGCATTCCTGTGCCCTCTCACATCCTATAGGACATTACTGGCTATTAACCACTAGGGACTGGGAAATTGTTGGGGGCTGCTTCTCTGTTAGGTTTCATTTTAAGGAAATAGAGCATTTTGCATTACTTCATCCATTCTCATAAGATCCAAGTGAAGCTTGAAAGGGATATTTTTTATGATTTAAATTTAGTTGCCAGAAAAGGGAAATATAAAGAATGACCTTTACAAGATGCTCCACTTGTCAAAATGTTACCATGGGTGAAAAGAGCTCAAAAGTCCCAGACCAGCATTACTTCTTTGCTGTTTTTGAGTTCCCTTCACCCAATAATGTGGGACCTGAGTACTCAGAAAAAATATTTCCCTGGGTTTTAAGTGTTTTCATATTTAGGATACACTCCCTGGACCAAGTAACTCAACTATTCTACACTTTTTCTAACTATCCAAGTGAAAATATTTGTGGAAAATAAGTGAAATAAAAACTACTTTTTATTAATTTGCTGATAGGTTACAGGTTTAAGGCAACACTACCCAACAGAAACAAAATGGGTATCACATACGTCATATTTTATTTTATAATATCCACATTCAAAAGACCAAAAGAAATGGGTGAAATTTAATTTATTAACATTTGATTTAATCCACTATATCAAAAATATTGCCAACATATAACCATTACAAAAACACTGAGATTTTTCTGATATTCACAGTATGTCTTTTAAATCTGCCATGCATTTTTCACTTATACTATCAACACTATTGTAGCTGCTCTTTTGGACAGCGCTGATCTAAGATGTTCGAATCTGTTTTTCTCCCCCAATTTCAAGATAAACATAACATAAAACTTGCCATCAATCTTTTTTTTTTTTTAAGATTTATTTATTTATTTATACAAGAACCCAGGTATAGGCCAGATGCATAGGAAGGTGAGAGGATTTACCAGAGACAACGCGGGGAACAGAATAGGCAGACTGATGAAATACATGCTGAGGGGAGCAGTGGGTGCGACAGGAGAGGTCTGCTGGCCATGTGGGATTCTTGCCTGCCGGCCAGGATCAAACCCGCATTACAGAGGCTGCAGACAGCTTCACAGCGCTGTGCTCAATCGCCTGTGCCACCAGGGGAAGCCCGCCATCAATCATTTTTAAGTATAGAGTCCAGTGGTATTAAGAACATTCAAATTGCACAACTTTCATTAGCACTAACCTGCTTTTTAAAAAGCTCATCAGCTATTTCTTTAAAACAGTGGTTCTCAATTTGGCTGAACAATGGAATCACCGAATACTGATTTCCAGCTCCCACTGTCTGAGAGACTGAATTAATTGCCCTGGGGTGCATATCAGCACTGAGAGCCCCAGGTGATTCTAATGTGTAGCCTAGGTTGAAAATGACTGCTCCAAAGGAAACAGCCAAAATAACTGAAAGTGATGTGAAAGAAAAAGGAGAAAGAAACTACTATTAGAGGGCCTCTCCAGTGGCGCTGCATTTGAACACTGGGTTGAAAAGCTGCCCGCAGCCTCTGCAGCGCCAGTTCGATCCCCAGCCACTGTGAGGGTCCCACATGGTCATGCAGACCTCTCCTGCCGCCCGCTGCTCCCCTCAGCAGCGTACCTCATCAGTCTGCCTGCTCTGTTGCCCACTCTGGTGAACTCTCTCACCCTCCTGCACTTCTGACTGTACCCAGTGCTTGTATAAATAAATAAATAAATGCTTAAAAAAAAAAAAAGAAACTACTATTAGAATGTAGTAGGGCAACCAGGTGCAGGGGAGCTGTGAGGCTCAGAGGCTCTCTCTGACATTCTCTCGTGATCTGTTTGCTCCCTCCTTCCTAGGCACAGATATGCACATTTGCACATGTGCACACAATCAGGCACTTGTGCCCCACACCCACATGACTTCTGCATTAACACAATCAAGGCTGGCCACAGGTGATAGCCACAGAGGCCAGTGGTGTAAAAAGCCTAATTAACTCATTCACCCTACATAGAACTACAAAGTTTTCCCAGCAGTGAAATTGAGCAGTTACCATTAGACTACAGTTTTTCTTGAGAGACAGAGACAGATAGATAGCACTTGAAGGTCTGTAGAGGTGAATCATTAGCTCCAAGATAGAGGAGCCCATGTGCCGAGCAGGACTGAGAGTTGAATTAGAGAGTCAGATTAAGTCCCATTTGGTAAGGCTAAATATGTTGTCAGTGCAAGCAAAAATTAAAGCTTTCCTAAAATATCAATTTACACAGCTCAGGCAAAACATGACTTGTTAGGCTCCACTTTTAACCTCATAGAGTAGATGGTCTATTGACACAAGCAGTTCTGTAGCACTTAACAACACGCACATTAAAAATAATTGTGTAGGGTGGGGAAAGTCAATGCCTGAGGTAGAATATATGGATTTTGAGAACCAAATACCAGTTCATCAGTTCAGGGAACAGAGAACAAGGAAAAAACATTCAAAGCAAATGGAAACTATTAATAATACCAGCAACTTAATTTTCTAGGTAACATCTGTAACAAAATGAATTTTTCGGGCCTCCCCTGGTGGCACAGTGGTTGAGCGCTGGGCTGCGAAGCTGCCCGCAGCCTCTGCAGTGCCACTTCGATCCCCGGCCGCCAGGTGAGGGTCCCATATGGTGCAACAGACCTCTCCTGCCACACCCGCTGCTCCCCTTAGCGTGTATTTCATCAGTCTGCCTGTTCTGTTCACTGCTCTGGCTCTGGTGAATTCTCTCACCCTCCTGCGCTTCGGACTGCACCCAGTGCTTGTATAAATAAATAAATAAATCTTAAAAAAATGAATTTATCTTTTTAATGTTTTAATATTCACTTAACATTGTATCACAAGCATTTCCCATGGCATTAAAATAATTTCAAAACATTGTAATGCCAACCTATTATTTTGTTATCCTGATTTTTTAAATTCTTGAGCATTTAGAGTGTTTCTAGTTTTTTTCACAATTTTACATAATGATGGCATAAATAACCATACACATCTTTGTACACATTTTGGGATGGAAATTATGGGGTCTTTACTGTCCTGTTATGTTATCTGAAAATATTATTTTTCTTTAAATGCTTACCAGTGTGATAAATAGTTGAGAGATAGAAACCGTAACTTCTTATACCTTTGATTATCCTGGGTCCCTGAATGAACTGAATTTGCACAGATAATGATGTTTCATTTTCTTACCCTTGGGAGGATGTGGTTGTTTCAGTAATACAAGTAGCCTGGGAAAAATAGTTTTGCCCTTAAGGTAAAAATGGCAGTAAGTTGCTGAGTGACTCACTTATCTAGTTTCTCGTTAGCTTGCCGCCAATGTGTCTGCTCTTTCTTCCATCTCAAATTTTCATTTAGGCCTGGAAATCGGTCATTCCCTAGGAGTTAAGAAATGCATGATAGGAATTTGATTAGCATGAAACCCTCCAAGATAACCAGAAGTTATGAATAAGCTCAACTGAGAAGACTGGGCACCTCGCTAATTAGAGTCCATGCTGGCGGCGGGTAGGAGACAAGCCCACCCCCAGGTCCAGCCTGGCTTAGAAGAACCCCTGCCTTTCTGAGGTGTTGGTGAGTGCATTTCTCAAGATCTCAAGCTTCTGTAAAGCTCTTGTGGTTTTCGCTGAGTTATAGACAGAAAGGGTGTGGCTGTCAAATGAGGGTACCCAACCATCACTGAGAAAAGCTGAGCTCTGTCTTCCTTGCCAGTGGTCCCACTGCATAATCAAGTTGTCACTGTTTTCCTCTGAGCACGGTGACTAGAATGGACAGTGAACGAGCACTGCACTCTACAGCAACGAGCTCAGCTTTTCTGAGATAATTCCTCATGGGGTGGAGTCCCAGGAGGACTGGAACATTCTGAGGCTACTGGGGACCTGGTTCCAGTCTACATAGCCCTGAATGACTTGAGGAGACGACCCTGGGAGCAAAACTATCCAGTTTGCGGACTGTGTTGTACAGACTAGTCAAATGCCTCCCAAAGAGACTTATCCTGGAGGGAGACGCCATCCCACCTTTTCTGGTGACTCATGTTCCTGAACATGAACTTTTATCACTGCTTAAGATATAACCTCCTTTCTCTGAATTACATTGAAAGTCTCAAGGAAGTGCTGGTGTCTGCTCATGTTGTGAGGGCATTCCTTGCCATAAAGGATGAAAAACTCAAACAGAAAGCAGGGCCAGGCCAGCCCAACACACCTGGAGCCCGGCAGCGCCGCATCATCTCCCCTCTGGCCCCTTCCCCGCGGAGCAGGGCCTCTTCCAGCCTGGCCTTGGCATCCCGTGACTTCTGCAGGACTTGGGTACTGACTTTGTCAGAACTCTGTTTTCCCTGCACAAGACAGAGGCACGAGGACATTTAGTTGGGTGAGATCTGTGTCTATGATGAGAATCCTCAAAACAGAACACTCAGTGGTGACATCAGCTTCTTTGATACACAGAAGCACTATTCTGGGGGTACTGCAGTTGAAATCCTGTGAAGGGAATGGAGTTTCCTACGCTGAAGGCAGAGATCCTCACCCTATGGTACAATCATATTTATAATGCAAATAGGTTATGGATTTTAATACAGAAATAGGAAAAATTGTTGATGATGCCATTGTCCAAACAAAGGGGAACAGTAACAAGACAGGACTGAATTGGGGAGAAAAGAGCTAGTGTAACCTGAGCCACCACTTACCTTGTACTCAAAACATGAGACACAGATGAAAAGGAGATCTAAAATCCTGTTTAGTTGCATTGACGGCAGGTCAGCAATCCACTTCCTAATGAGGGTCTGGTCTGCATTTTTCATGATCCAGAGGAAGCAGATCATGAGGTTTCTGGTGGTGTCAGCATTCAGCATGTTGTACTGCTTGTAGGGCTGAAAAGAGGCAGATTGGGAGATGGAGGCAGGGGACAAAGTAGAGCAGCAGAAATAGTGAAAGCTTAAGGATGGTCATCTCTTAGAACACAGTCACTGTGCTCCTTCCTTGACTGTGGAACTGTTTCCTGGAACTCTGCTGTTCCTTCAGCTGGCTGCTCAGCGAAGGAGTTCTCCAGGGCAATATTTAAGGCAGGCTTCATGCCACGTAACTGTGGGCACCCTCTGTCTCAGGAGCAGTGTGGTGTGTTGAACTGCCCTGGACTTTAGCCATGTTGCCCCCAAACCCCCATCTCAATGATACAAAGGGGCCCCCATGCTGCTAAGATCGCCAAGTATTTCTCCTTTAAACTAGACTTAAAGGAGGGTTGGACTTATAAAAGAAGTACCCTGGCTGGGTTTCAGAAATACCCTAACTATGTAAGATTTAGTGTCTTTGTGACAGAATCCAAAGAATACTGTAAGGGTCAAGTATTACTCAAAAAATTAACCAAATCTACAATTTAGTGGAAATCTCCTGATGGGACTTTAACCACAATTTATGCTTTCCTGAGGGTGTGGGCCTTAGTCTATTGGCTTTAATATTTTAGCCACAAGTGTTATTTTAGAGGCTTGAGCACACTTTCTGTTACTTATCAAATCAACACCAAGAACAATATGTGGCTGCACCCTTAGTTCATGTGGCGGAACTAATATCCCATGGAATGTAGTGGTGAGACTGCAGTAAGTATTTGTGAGTATATGAGGGATTTGTTAGTTTTGGATGGGAAAACTTCATAGGGCTTATAAAGTTACTTTAATTTTAGTTTTTCTGAGCATGTTGACAAGAAGAAATGAAATCTCTATCATAACAACTTCATAGGGAATATCTTTTCATAGGAGAATTTCAGGCTTTTAAGTTTCTCCCTTAGAGGTAAATAATAACATAAAAAGTATATACCACCTTAAGCAGCCAGCTTTGGCAAGATGGACATTTGAAAATTGGAGGCCATAAATATTTCAATGTGGATAAATACATATTTATCAAACTCCAGGATGAGTGATGTCAAATCTCAAATGTCTTTTCTCTTTCTTCCTTGCTGTCCTGTCCTCAACCCTCACTGGGGGTATATAAGAGGATGCAGTAGCAGTCTTGACAAAGGAATAGTCAGAGGTAAGCAAGGAATGGAGATAGAACCTGCCTCATGTGAATCAGAGGTTATATCCCCAGAGGAGCTCCCTTCAAGCCCACAGAGTCTACGCAAAAGGACAGAGGCAATCAACTCTCCTTAGGCTTTCTGGGGATTGAGAAAAGCTAAAATCTTTTGCATAAGCTCTCACCCCAACCAACCAGACTCTTTCAATCCTTTTTTAGAGGCAGATATAGTATGAATAATAAATACTTAAACATCTTAAGCCTCCCACTTGAGGAAGCCATGGCTTGATATCCTTGGTAATGATGTCAGATTTCTTGGTTTTCTGAACCTTGAACTTGGTACCAGTGAAACTGTCTGAATTTGATTTGTGGCTCCTTTGCTGTTGCCAGAACCCAGTCTGACAGTGTATCATTTCCTTCAACTGTGCCATTTCCCGCCTTGGTCGCAAACTTCACAATAATTCCCTCCAGCATCAATTAATGAGACAGAAATCTTACTGCCTGCTCTATGCTGAGTTCTAGTAGAATATGAGGATATCTGGCAGAATATGAGAATGAGTCCATCAAAAGATGGACACATAGGAAAAGACACAAAGGGAAAAATAAACGAGGGAAATGTGCACCAACATACCAAGGAAGACACCATTGCTCCACTTGTTTTCAAGTTAAAATGATTGCCAGCGATGGCCAATGCCACATTCTGGTTAATTGCACTACTCCCTTCTTCTTCATCGGAGCCATTGGTGCGATTTTTCCCACTACGGGCATCTACTGCTGTAATTAAAACAACAACAACAATAGTAGTTTTACCATATAAACAAGTCCTTGATTTTGCCCCAAAATGTTGAAAACTTATGTTTTCACATAAAAAATCTGTACATAGATGTTTATAGAAGTTTTATCTATAATTGCCAAAACTTGGAAGCAACCAAGAAGTCCCTCAGCAAGTGAATGGGTAAAAATACTGTGGTATATCCAGAAAATGGACTATTTCTCGGTACTAGAAAAAAGTCATCAAGCCACAGAAAGACATGCAGGAACCTTGAATGTGTGCTACTCAGTGAAAGAAATCAATCTGAAAAGGTTAAATACTATATGATTCCAACTATATGACATTCTGGAAAAGGCAAAAACCATAGAGAACAGTAAAAATTTCAGTGGTTGCCAGGGGCTAGAAGCAAGGAAGGAATGAATAGGCAGAGCACAGAGGAATTTTAGATCAGAGAATCTTCTATGTATGTTGTTGTAATTACAAATACATGTCATCATACATTTGTCCAAACCCACAGAATGCACAGCACCAACAGTGAACCCTACTGTAAACTCTGGACTTAAATGATGATGTGTCCAATACAGGTTTATCATTGTAACACATGCACCACTCTGGTGGGAGATGCTGATAATGGCTGTGAATGCACAGGGGCAGAAGGTAGATGGGAAAGCTCTGTAATTTCCCCTCAATTTTGCTATAAACCTAAAACTACTCTTAAAAAATAAAGTCTTTAAAAAAACTTTAGCATCAAGCCTGAGATGGTATTTCCCTAAATCACCTCTCCAGTAGCCGATGTGTCTGATACTTGAGTCACTGAAGTCAGTGCAGTAATTTCTTTTATTTAAAACATTTTTAAACACATTTAAATTAAGCTTTAATTAAATTAAAAATAAAAATTCATTTAAACGCATTTCAAATGCTGAGTGCAATACACATTCTCAAAATAAAAATTTTGGTTTCTGTTTTCTCAAATTGCTCTACATGCTTGACCAAAAGGTGGGATTCAGCAGAGTAATTTAAAACCTAGCATTATTGATGTGCTACCATTAATAGAAAAAAGCAGATTAGCAAAGGAAACAAAATGTCTAGTACATGACTAGGTCAGAAATAAAATTTTCAAATTATGAAAATAAAAAATTTCCATGTGTTCAGTAACACCTTCCTGTAATATAATATTTATAAAATGTATTCATATTTTAATTAATGACCAAATAGAAAGGAACCTAAGATTATAGGATGATATAAGTGCAGGGGTCTCCATCAGTTCAAAGAAGAAAAACAAAAGGCATCATTCATTACCTGTAAAGTCATACAGCTGTGGCAAAGCATCCAAAATGATGCCAACCAAAGGCAGGTAAAGGGCAGCAATTTTGACCTTCACCTCTGGTTTGGCACAACGTGGGTCCAGGTCATGAGTACTCAGCAAGCTCTGGATGGCACTGACGGCTTTCCTTTGCACTTTGCTCATCCTGTCAGTAAAAACACAGAAAGCTAGAGGTCATGGTAGGTGAACTGAGATTGATCAAAATGCTTTTAAGCAAGGAGTGATCAGAATTCTCTTAAACAACAAGGTGACAATGTCAAAGTCCAGGAAAACAAGATAGAAATTTAGAGTATTCACAGACAGACTACCTGCACTCTAATTCTGGTCTACCATTAGTATGATGTTTTAAAGTTCTTCATGTTGTAGCAACAGTCCTTCATTGCTGGTTACAGAAATATTCAATATTATTATTGAGTAATATTCCATTGTATGGCTATATCATATTTTATTTATCCATTCATCAGTTTATAGACATTTGGGTTGTTTCCACATTTTGGCTATTATGAATTATGAATGTTGCTATAAATATTTATGTATGAGTTTTTGTGTGGATGTTTTACCTCTTTTGGATATATACCTCAGAACAGTATTACTGGATCAGACAGTAATTCTATGTTTAACCTTTACTGGAAACAGCAAACTGTTTTCACTAGTGGCTATACCAAACTACATTTCTGCTAGCAGTGTATGGGGCTTCCATTATCTGTTTACAATACTTGCTACCACCATTTTTTTTTATTATTATCATTATAGTCACCTTGACGGGTATGAAGTTACTGTAGAATAAATGTTTGTGTCCTCTCCAACTTCATTTGTTGAAACCTAACCCCCAATGTGTGGGTGTTTGGAGGTGGAGCCTTCAAAAAGGAGCAGTCATGAGAGTGAGTCCTCATGAATGAACTTGGTGCTCTCATAAAAGAGCTCCTTGGCCCTCTTCAGCCATAGGAGGGCAGCAAGAAGATGGCCACCTATAAGCTAGGAAATGGGTTCGGACCAGATACTGAATCTGCTAAGGCCTTGATTTTGAACTTCTCAGCCTCCAGAACTGCGAGAAATAAATTTCTGTTGTTTTTAAGCCACCCAGTCTATGGGATTTTTGTTATAGAAGCTTGAAGGAACTAAGCTAGAAGAGGAATTTCACTGGTCTTGATATGTATTTCCCTGATGTCTAATGATGTTGAACATCTTTTTCATGTACTTATTGGTCATATCTTTTTTGAAGAAATGTCTATTCTGATTTTTTTGCCCTTTAAAAGCTGGATTGTTTGTTCTTTTATTACTAAATTGCAGGTTTTTAAAAATATATTCTAGATATAAATCCCTTATTAGGTCTAGGATACGCCAGTAATTTCTCACTTTCTTTGCATTCTTTTCACTTCTTGATGATATCCTATAAATTACAGGAGTTTTAATTTTAATGAAGTCTAATATCTATATTTTTCTTTTGTGTTTCATACTGTTTGGTGTCAGAGGTAAGAAACCGCCTAATCCAATTTCAGAAGATCATCCCTATGATTTCATTTAAAATTTCTATACTTTTAGCTCTTACAGAGTGTCCTTCATCCAGATTTAACTTTTACATATGGCAAGATGTTAGATCACCTTCAGTCTTTTGAAGGTGGGTATATATTAGTCCCAACACCATTTGTTAAATATACCATTATTTTCCCAGTGAACTATTTTGGTACCTGTGTCAAAATCAATTGACTACAAATGGGGACTTATTTCTGAACTCTTAATTCAATTGCATTGATCTACATGTCCATCTTTACCTCACAATCACATAGCCTTGAAAACTTTTTCTTTGTTGTAAGTTTTAAATCAGGAAATATGAATCCTCCAATTTTGTTTTTCTTTTTTAAGGTTTTATTTTTTTGGCTATATTATGCTCCTTGATTTTCTGCATGAATTTTAGGATGGTTTTGACAATTTCTATAAAAGAAACCAGTTGGAATTTTGAGAGGAATTACACAGAGTTTTTACATAAATTTGGGGATTACTGAATCTTAACAATAATAAATATTCTGAGATTAACATGTCATATCTTTCCATTTATATAGGTCTTTATTTTTTTCCAAAGTGTTTTGTAGTTTTCAATTTACAAGTTTTATACTTCTTTTGTTAAATTTATTAAGAATTTTATTCTTTTGGACACTATTTTAAATGGAATTTTCTTTATTTCATTTGATCATTCATCATAAAATTATAGAAATACAACTGATTTGTGTATTGTACCTCAATACAATATATATTGTTCCTCAATACAATACACACTTGTATAAAATATTCATTACATATTGATCTTGCAAACTTGCTGAACTGTTTATTACTTTTATTAGTTCTTTTTTTTTTTTTTAAAGATTTATTTATTTATTTATTTATACAAGCAGTGGGTACAGTCAGAAGCGCGGGAGGGTGAGAGAATTCACCAGAGCCAGAGCGGGGAGCAGAGCAGGCAGAAGGACCGAAGTACACTGCTGAGGGGAGCAGCGGGCAGCAGGAGAGGTCTGCGCGCCATGTGGGACCCTCCTCCGGTGGCCGGGGAGCAGCCGGGGATCGAACCGGCGCTGCAAGGCTGCGGGCAGCTTGGCAACCCCGCGCTCAACCGCTGCGCCACCAGGGAGGCCCACTTTTATTAGTTCTTTAGTGAGTTCTTTAGAATGTTCTACAAGTCATAACATTTGGGAATAGAGATAACCTCTTCCTTCCCTGTATGGGTATCTTTTATCTTTTTTTCTCGTTTAATTGCCTCAGGTAAAGTACAGTGTTGAAAAAAATATGATGAGTGGACATTCTTGTTCCTACTCTTAGAAGAATTGTGTTCAGTCTTTCACTAGTCAGTATGAAGTTAGCTCTGGGTTTTTCATATGTGTACTTTATCAGGTTGAGGAAATGCTCTTTTATTCCTATAAGGTTTGTGAACTGTTTTTTATCAGGAGGGGGATAGATTTTGTCAAATGCTTTTCTTCATCTATTGAAATATTTATTCTTTATTCTATTCAGATGGTATATTATATATAATCAACTAATTTTCAGATGTTAAACCATTTCTTGTATTTCTGGGAAAAATCCGACTTGACCATAGTGTATATTTCATTATATATGTTGTTGGATTCAGTTTGTCAGTATTTCGTTAAGGATATTTACATCTCAGTTCATCTTGGTCTGTAGTTTTCTTGTGAAGCCTGTGTTTGCTTTTGGCATCAGGATAACCCTGGCCTCCATAAATGAGCTGCAAAGTGCTCTCCACTCTTCAAATTTTTAGAAAAGTGTGTGAAAAATTGGAAATAATTCATCTTTAGACATTTGGTAGCTTAACATAAAGATGCTAGATAGTGTCCTTATGACTGAGAAACACTGTGGATATAATGATACGTGGACATTAGTGGGGATTCCCAAGTAAGGGTGGTTCCAGGGAGACCTGTTGGAAACCAAGTTGGGGCTCTTTTTAGGCTCCTTCCAGGAATTGAGATGTATCTCACTGGCCCTTGTACCACAGATGGGCAGGTGTTGGTGAGTTTACTGAGTGGACAGCAAAAGGAAGTACTGGCCAAGAGGAAATATTTTAAAGATAAGATTTTTCTGGGGTTTTAGCTCAGGTGTCAAAGTCTGTGACAGTACTTCTAATAACTTTCCAGAAGAGTATGTGACAATTTGGCAACCAGGGTTTATCATATTACCAAAAGAGTGACAGTTTTAATTAGTTACACTTGGGAGGCTAGAAAAGATACTCTGTGTGTGTGTGTATGTTTGAAGAATGACCTCTGAACATACTCTACTCTGCTGCTAGTGAAATAACAGCAACAATTTTACAAGGAGATGTCAGGGCTTTTCCCCTAAATATCCCTGTTGATAGGAAATGGGAAATAAAAACTACTACTAATGTAAATACTAAACGGTATTTCCAGGAATTACATAAAGCAGTGCTATTAAAGGACAATTAGGGAAAAGAATGTGTGTGTGTGTGTATGTATGTGTGTGTATAAATGCAATTTTCTTTGTGCTCAAACCTCCTTATCAGCATATGGGTCAGGGCACTTTGTGTTGCTATGGAGATTCATGTTAGCTATTGGGTAGAAAGTTCTGTTGAGAAAATTGAAAGGAATTCAGTTGGAGTTGAAAGAAGAGGATCAAACTGAAGCCTTGAATAATTAGAATATGTTCAGGATCTGAGTTTTTGGAATTTAGAGGTAAGAACAAGAGATTTCCCACTCTGACCCACTAGGAGACAGACACAAACATAGGGTTAGGCAATATCAGAATGGGCAAAGCACTTAGAATATACTCGTTATTACAATTACATAAACTCAAATATATTCCTGTAATTGTTTCACACAGGGACATTGTGTTTCCTTCAATAGGCACTTTGAGGGAATTTGAGAACTTCTAGTTATACAAAAATGTGTGACATATAGCAATGTTGCCACTAATCAGCATACTTTATTCTAGAAAGATCTTTGGTGGGGGGAAAGAGACTGCAGAAGCTGTAGGAACAGGTTCCTAGGCAGGGAGACAGTATGGCATAAGTCAGGGACCCAGGGCTCTGAATCTAGTTCTGCTATGTAACTTGCGGCAAGTTCCTTCAATTCTGTGATCCTAATCTGAACACCAAAACAGTTGAGCCTAAATTGTCTCTTTTCTAAAGATTTATTTATTTGTGCATAGAAGAACTGGGGTGTAGGCCAGAGGTACAGAGGGTGAGAGGATTCACCAGAGACAGAGTGGGGAGCAGAACAGGTGGATTTACTGAAATACACTGCTAAAGGGAAAAGCTGGTGAGGCAGGAGAGGTCTGCTGCACCATGTGTGGGTTAGCTCCTTGGCCAGGGATGACACTCAGTCCGCAGCAGTGAAAGCATGATAGTGCCGAGACTTATTCCCCCATGTACCAGGGAGGCCTGTTGTCTATTTTTTATGGTCTTTGGAGCTGAGAACCTGTATTTAAGGTCTATGGAGGCAGAGAACTTCATTTTGTGCACCAATGTATTTCTGACATCCTTTAACACTCAGTAATGTCTGCCCCCCTTGCAGACTCTCAGTGACTGTTGAGTAGAATGGATATTTGGAATGGCATTGGCTCCTTTCTTCCAATCAGGTAGGCAGTGGCATTATGATCCTGTTAATAATTGCAGCATATGGAAAGAAGGACAAAGAGAGTAGGCTGCCACCCTCCTTGTCTATTGCCTTCAAGGACAGACACTGTCACATGGTCTGGGTGACAGGGTTTATAGAAAGTGGAGGAATTTGTAAGAGACTGGTGGCATCTCTCTTAGCCCGGGAAAGTCTCTGCAAAAAATCTAACTGTACACTAAGCAATTACTCTCCCATCAGTGGTTTTTCCATTGTCAGTCTTGAGTCAAGTAACACCTTACTGCTGCTTCTGTGTGCACACACACCACTCAGGGGCTTCTGTTTAATACAGCTTTGTTCCGGAGTTCACAAATCAAAGTATCCCTGGGAAACCTGCTGCAATAGAATCGGTAAATTCTTCTCAATGAATAAGTGACTGAAAAAAGCCATTGTCTGGTTTATCTCACTCCCCTGTGCCTTCCCACATTCCTATCAGCTCCATTTTCTCAAAACACTGGTGCTTCTACTTGTAGGAACTGGTAAGTAGTATATTTTATCAAGCATGAGAATTTGGAGTGCTAACTGTAGTAAAGAACTTTTTTTTTCATTTTGTATTCCATTTTAAATGTTAGAAACATACCCTTCCCCTTCAGAATCCAGGGCAGCAGATAGTTCAGTAAAGAGAAGTCCAGTGAGAAAGTGCTGCTGGCGGTAATCAGAAGTCAGATCAAACATGTTGGCAATCTTTTGGTCCTGGAAACTGGAGCAGGAACTGGAGTTCTACACAATGCAAAGGGCAGTTTTATGAGCAACAAGAGCTAAAACTAAAATCGCAATGGTGAGTATATTAAGGACAGGCTACAGTCAGACTTTGTCGGCACTACCTAGTGGGTAGGTGCCATTAGCAGCCCCACATGATAGATAATGAAACCAGGTCAGAGAGTGATCACTTTGCTTTCCTAGCCCCACAGCTGGAGGACTGTCAATTGTGAAAGATGAGACAAATGGTTCAGTTTTTGCCAAAAAGTGAGTAACAATCCCTTTCCCACCCCAAATCAGAAGTTGAATATAAAATATCAGGACAACATTTGGCTAGGGAAATTCAAACTACATCTATTCCTGGAGCTCTGAGCAGACAATTCTTGTAGAACAGGGCCCTGTATTTGGACCCTTGTTTACTCAGCTGCATTTATGAGCATGGCTGATGCACATTATCTGAATTGTGCTGGCCAGGAACTATTGATAGAAGTTGTGTCAGGCAGGGAAGTATCAGTTTTACCATTCCTAGAGAATTCAGTGTTCTTCTCTGGGGGGCACACTTTCTATTTCAATAAGAGAATCTAACAGTGTGTGGAAATGCTTTTTGGTCTGGTAAGGCTGGGCTCTGTTCTGGAGTTTGCAGAAGGGAAACATGGGAGGGGACCTATGGAAGAGTTAGCACATTTGGAACTGCTGCTTCTAAGTCACATCTTTCTCCATGCACATTATGACAATCATGTGGATTGTGTCATCTTGCACGAATGGCTAAGATTTGTTTTTAATTATTAACACAGACCTTCACCTTTGTATTAGTATCAAGTAATATGCAATAGAAATAGAACTTAGTATTGAGAAATCTTGCCTGTTGTTCTGAGCTAGGGATTTGTTCCCTATAAGTAGAAAACAGCATTTCTTTAAAGTTTTTCTAGGGGGCCCTAGCCCCTTGAGAAACAGATGAAGTGCGGGGGGGGGGGAGGGAATAAAAAGGTCTCCATAGTCAAATCACTTTGGAAATATTGTTTATGACATACTTCCTTCTTTTTCTTTCTTCGCACCTTTGCACCTTTGGCATTTACAATTTACATGAACAAATTAGGGACCACAGGGTGTCCCAGTGCAAAGAAACATTTTAACACAGGGCTTCCAAAGCTTACTTTACTTTGGATAATATTTCTTCTCCTGTGAAAATTGGCCCCTACTGAATGTAACTTGTGAAACACTGTTCTACAAAAAAAGATTGACCAAGTGGGTCAAAGCTCTCTGTCTCAATACTAAGACAAATGTTACTTTTCTTGGTTGGTCAAAAAAAAATTTGTCAGTAAAACACTCTCTATAAAACAGGCCATTTGCCTAGTTTATGATGAGATTTTTTTTTTTTTTTTTTTTTTTTTTGCGCGTGAAGAACTAAGTTATCTGGAATATAATTCAAGATGCATCTGGTGCTGAATTCCATTCTATAACACAGTATCAGTAAAACATTCTAGGATAGTTAAAAGATTAAAATATCCCTGTTAAAAACCACTATTAGATCACTTTGGAATCAATACAAAAGAAACTGAAATTACATATATTGTTAGTGGTGCTTAGTTTTAGGAAAGGCAAAGGATATTACGCTAAAGTGGAAAGATGATTAATGTCAGACAAAGGAAGGTAAGTGACTTTTCTACAAGTTCCTAAATTGTCATAATATTTAGGCTCCTTTGCGCTCCTTGGCCTCAGCAGGGACCCTTGAGCTCAAGAAGTAACCACTTAATTTATAAATGCTGAGTTAGAAAGTACAATTTTGGGTGGCATTCTGTGTATAGTTGGATCAATTGATCTGGTGTGAATGACACGTTTTTCTTTTTAACTACTAAGTCCAACCTCGATAGAAATAAATGACTAAGCTAAGCTAATTACATTTTTCAATAGCTGATTACCTGAGAAGATATGGAGGGACAGGGAGATACTGGAGCAGTATCAGCGTTCATAAAGAAGAGGTTCAGATTGAGGTAATGCTCATGACTGCAGAGAATTCTCAGGAACTCTAGCCTCATGGAAATGAGCGTTGGAAGGTTGTTAAGCTTGGCTGACAGCTGGGAAGAAAAATGAAAACAGAAAAGATGCATTTATTATAAAATGAATGAAGCTGAGTTTGAATGATACAAAACTATCCTTTCTACCAAGTTTAAAACAATCAATTTAATAAAAATTAATGGCACAACAGATAGCAAGCTCTATACTATAGGGCGACCCAATAATTATCATCCATTACTACCCCTTCATGATTCTAGTCTAACTGCTATCCAAAATGAGGATCCTTGCTCTGACCCCTACCCTTGTCAAATCTATAATACCATAGCAAGTCTGTGTTGAAAATAATCTGGAAGTGTATCTTTCATGTAATATAATATAATTAATTTTGCAAAACCCCACTGTGTCGGAGAAGCTAAATGAAAGGAACTGACCCCACAAGGGACCACACAGAACTAATGGACTATGACTGGATGACTTTAATGCCATAGTGTTCTTTTGTAGATTCTAATTAAAGATCCCATTGGGAAGTCCTCAAACCAGCCTCCTAGAAAAAGGCATCAAATTACATAGGAAAGTATGTAGTGTGAGAGGTGGAAGAATGCAGAAAGAAACAAATGTTGGAAGAGTTTTCAGGAAAAAAAAATCTACCCTTAAACAAACAAACCATGTACTCAACGAAAGCTGACAAAGATGACAATCTGGAAGTGATTTCTAATTCCCTCACAGAAGCTGACAACTGAAGAACTCAGATTCTCTGGACTGAGACATGGCGGCAGTTTCTCTTATTGAAAATTAGGGAAAAGATGAACTTGGTGGACCTTAAGCTTTTCAACATATCAACACCTCCTGCCCAAGATGGGAAACCAAACATGTCACCTTGTAAAAGGACAAGACCCCTCTTCATGCATTTTTCAAAATTGTATAATTTAATGAGCACATATTTTTAGCCATTTTAGGAGATGTCATGTGTAATGAAGCATTTTTGTCTATAAAATCAATCCATTGCTACACATTTACATAAAATAAATGAATACTATTAAGTATTATGTAAAAAATAAAACATGACTTGTGTTTAAGAACAGTTACCAGAACCCCACTCTTGTCAATGTGCATTGCTGGCTGACTCAGCACCAATGTGGTGATAAGCAATTTGAACTGATTAGAATTTGGTCATATACCCACCACCTTTTGGCCACTCACAGAAAGGGTTGTTGGGTCAAGTTAGCTATTATAACTTGAAAGCTCAAGATATGTGCACTTGAAAGAAGGCCACACTACAGGTACCTTTCATACATCCCTTGAGATTTCATCAGAGACAGAAATTTCAAAAATAATTTTAGTGATGTTTAGAAGAGTGAAGTAGGCTAGAGTTCCTGAAACATTCTTCCCAAAGGTCAAGACCCATGGTTGTAGCTTTAGTGGCCTTACCCAAGGGATGGGTGTGAACTCAGTGGCACATTGAAAGCAACAAGAGGGCTTCCCTAGTGGCATAAGGGGTTAAACACAGCACTATGAAGCTATCCTCAGCCTCTGCAGCACGAGTTTGATCCCAGATGGCCAGGGGCCTACCCACATGGCACAGCAGACCTCTCCTGTCTCGCCTACTGCTCCCTTCAGCAGTGTATTTCATTCAGTCTGGCTGTTCTGTTCCCCCCTCTGTCTCTGATGAATCCTCTTACCCTGCTGCCCCTCTGACCTATACCCCAGTTCTTTTATGTATAAATAAATAAATCTTAAAAAAAAGAAAGCAACAAGAACACTTGAAAAGTAGATTTGTCTATTGTTCATGACTGTTAATAAAATATTAAATTATACCTGTTGTCAAAAGTCCATCAATGACAGAAAACATGACAGGATGTTTGAATCAGGTTATGAAAAATGATAAAATCTGAGGACTTCAAGTGAACAGAACATGACTTGGGTTTGATGTTCATTCTATATCAAGATAGCTGGGAACAAAGGATTAAATCACCACTGATAGATCATTTTAGGTGTGAGTGCTATTAAATGTGCTAAGCAATATCCAAGGATGTCACTGGCAGATATAGAGCATAGAAAATGGCAATAAAACCTGGATAAATCTAAGCCAGTTTTTATTTTAGAAGGTTAGGAAGATGAGGTGAGGAAGTTTCTTCTCCAGATATTGAATCTCAGAGGTGTTCAATGGCATCATCAGAATTAGAACATAGGTCTCCAGAATCCTAGTTTAAAACTCCCTGGGAGCTAAGACGGGAATCAGGGACAAAGAGACAGTAAATTAGAAGTACATTCTAACTTATAAGAAAAGGAAAGGACTAAAAAGAGAAAAGAAAGAAAAGCAAAAGAATAAATTAAAGTGTAGATTTGCAGGGCAGGTAGAAATGTAATCTTGACTGCTCCATTTGCCGTTGGTAATGGAAACTGCCCACGTGAGCTGTGACAAATATTCTATCCTGGGACAAACTCTAGTCAGGCTCCTCTAAGCTTTTTCAAGTAGACCCAGCCTTGGGCATATCCTCAACTGTAAGAATTCTGCTAAATCAGTTTAATCATAATCTCCCACCCTGGATTCTAATTAACTTTGATATGTTACCAAATTCCTTCTCCTGTGAAAAGATACCCCATACTTAGAAGTCTAGACCCGTCAAAGACTAAATGCTATAGGCATGAAATCTCTGTTAAATGTCAAATTAAATGTCAAAGCAGAATATATCACTATCAAATTTCAGCTCCCATAGCTTAACTTGTTGGCCCCTATGTTCTGGGTTGGTAAATGCTCCAGGAATCCACGCATATCGGTGTGTCTAAGGGATAGCCATTGCACAAACAACATGAGGAATGCACTGCAAAACCCAGAGTCAAGCTTCCTAATTTGGCAATGAATAAGGCAGCACACCATGGCACAGACATCAGACTGGACAAGAAGGAACCAGGAGCCACATGGCTACATTGGAGGGAACACTCACCTGGCTGCAATAATGTTTGATGAGGTCAAACACAAAGCCACGATCCATGAGTGAGAGAAGGTCATACAAAAAGAAAGCCAGACTGATGTTCATCTTCTCTGCCTGTTCATTTTCCTTAAACACAGACACAAACACCCAAGTCATTCTGTGGTGAACCCATGTCATGAAATCTCAGGACCCTGATGGGTAAATTGAGAGAGGCAGGGACTATTTTTTTTTTTCATCCACTTTCCTCAGAGAAACACTGGGAAAAGTCTGTAAAATCACAGCAAATATAACTTAGTCCTTCATTGATGTGTGTTGCATTGAGTCAGATAATTCTTCATCTGTGGTTAATATTTATTTACATTCCTTCCAATCTTTTTTCTTTAAATTCATATATATATACTTGAGCTTATTTTCTATGTGCAAAGTTGGGTCCTGAATTTTTTCATTCAACATTATATAGGGATATTTCTCTACATTTTTAACATGTTTTAGAAACTAATTTTTAGTGGCTGCCTCATATTTTTTCATATGATTTAACCATAATTTAGTCTATTCTGGTAGCTACAGTTTTGAGTAAATTAACTTGAAATATATCATTATAGTCAATGAGATAGATAATAAAGACTGTTAAGGAAATTTAAAGGATAAAAAAAATCAGTTTTACCTAAGGAATTTGTTTTTCCAATTAGACAGCAGCAACCCTAGCCTAGGAGAGGTCACAGTCGTACATGGTAGAGGGGACTCTTGCATGAAATGAGACCAGGGTTTTGTTTTTATTACCTCCCAGTGCTCATATTTATGAGGGATTTTACAACACTTCAGAGCAGTAAGGGATTCATTTTTTTCATGTTTATGTCCTTTATCCTCAGACTTTTCTCTGACACTAAGAAAATATGACTTGAAAATATTTTTCTGTTACAACGTTCAACCTGCCAATTCAGGCCATACTGCTAGCCACTGGGATGGATGGAAACCTGTTAAAGAAGTTTCCACAGTGTCTCTGATTGGCAAGCCCTCAAGTTCTCAGCATCTTCTCCCTGGGCCACTCCTGGCCAGCTTATTTAACTGACTATTCTAGACTTGGGATCTTCAGACTTGGCTTTGCTTCTAGCTGTGTAACTTTTGGAAAGTTTATCAACCTCATTGTACATCAATTTTCATGTCTGCCAAAATGGAGTTACCATTGTCGGCTCTCACAAAGGTTGCCATGAGAAATAACCAAATGAAAATCTTCTCTGGCGTACTTGGAACTGTACAAACTCTTCACAATCATAAAAGCATTGATTATGATGACTGCTGCCTCAAATTTTTGTTTTATTTCATTTATTTTTAAACTTTCTATTTTGAAATAATTTCAAATGTACTGAAAAGGTACAAAAATAGTACAAAGATCTGTTGTATGCTCTTTAATTGGAATTCACCAATACTTGACATTTTGCTGTATTTGCTTTATCATTGTCTCTACATACACACACAAAAATTTTTGGAACCATTTGAGATTTGATTGCCAATATCCTGCCTGTTTACCCCATAATACTTCAGGGTGTATTTCCTAGGAAGAAGAATGATGTCTCCTATATCTACAAGGATACCACAATTTCAACCATTGTAATTTCTTTATAGCAATCCTGTGACACCATACTAGGGTCCAATCCAACATAACATTCTGTTTTTAGTCGTGTTTTTAGTCTGTTTTTAGTCAACTAGTTATATTTTAATTACTGTATTAAGAGGATGCTTATTTTTCTTGGATTATGAAAATAACATATGTTCAAGGCAAGATATTTAGAAAGTAGAGTAAAATGACACAGTTACCTTCTGAGGTTTTATTAAAAGGGCTGCAATCTCCGAGGTGACCACATTAACAATAGTCCTTATGTCATCTTGGAAACGGTCGGAAAAACGTGTCTTCCGAGAATGGTCCTGTTTATCCATGTTATGTACATACTGGGCCATGCTTTTCACCTACAGAGGGGATGAAGGAAATGTCAACACGAAAAATTGGTGACCTGCTTGTACACTGTAGAAAAGAGGAAAACACTGGAAGAAAAGCTCATTCACAATGGACTCACTAACACTTTATCTGTGCGGGTGGTAGCTTGAGCAGGCTCTGCACTAAAAAATGCGCCTGACATACAAATGGTTACCATGGTGGCAGGAGGTGGGAAGGGTGTCCTCTTCATGACCCCAAGTCAGGGGACTCCCTTCTTGTTGTGGACAAAGCCAGGGAGCTGAATTCTTTAGCTACAGTGTCATAAGACTCCCATTCCCTCAACTGCCTCCATGCGGGAAGGCAGACCTGGGCTGGGCTCCCAGAGCCACATAGGCGTCACTGTCACGACACACAACACATTACATTAAAAGAAGCTGTTATGATATTATTTCTCATGTGAATTGAAGTCATCTCTGTCCTGAAACTATAGTAAGGAGAAGAGTGAAAACGTGTTCCTCTTATCTTGGATATCCAGTTGAAAGGGGAGCACAGTTTTTCTAGAAACAATTCTGCAGTATATTAGCTGGAAATTATTTGGAACATTGCCTCCAAGAGAAATTATGTTCTGCATTTTGACCGATCAACTTATATGTATTTATATTTACATACACACGTAATTGAATAAAAATTTCGTCAACTGGTGGTAGAACACTGGCTCAATGCCTGCTGCAATTTCAAATCAAGATAGTGCTTATTTTTTGGACTTATTCCTGGGGCCAGGAGATTCTTGGATCAATACAACCCCCTTTTGATACAGTCTGAGGCTTACATTTCATCCTATTAGATGCTTAGAGATAATAAAGACAGTATGAAGGGAAAAGCTGGGGGTCCTTGTGGTGGGTTCCTACCCTCTGCGGTCATTTTCATGATTGTATCCTGGTTGGTCAGAGTCAATGTAAATAGAAATAGCCCTGGGAATTAAACTGCCTACATTTGCTTGAAGCTGACCCCCTAGGTTAGGGTTAGGAGAGGGAACAAAGAAAACTGTACGGGGAAAATGACCTCTAGCCACAAGAGCTAATATGGGAGAACTTTTATGTATGAACAGCAGATTTGTTTCTAAAAAAGCAGATCTGGCAATTTTCATTTTGCTGAGACAAAGATAAAAAAACAACAAGAATGTAAAATAAGAAGAGAAAAACAGAAACATAGGTGTTATGTTTCATGAGTTTTAGGATAATGCCAGGGCCAGCTTGGGGAAGACCTAAGAATATAAAATTCTGAAGCCTAGTGTCTGAACCATGGGTTCTCTTCAGTGAGTTCAAGACACAGGGACCGGTCCTACCCCTCAGAGTCTCACACACTTGGTGGAAGAATCTGAATGAGGAGTAGGAACTGGACCCCATGTTTTCTGACAAAAGTGTCTGTCATGACATTCCTAACAAAGAACCCATGAAGACAAGGTTTCTTTGTTTTGGACCACACCAATCCTGATTCTTTTCTGGCTCACCTAACTCAGTACCAGACTTTTAGAACGCACTGTTGTATTCAGCTCCTGCCTGCTGAGTTTGGCCATGCTACAACCAAATAAATAATTCTCACAATACTGCACTTTCAAGTGCCTCTTTTCAGCTCTCAGCAACTTGCCAGCTACTGTGTCCTTCAGATCTCCAGGGAGGAACATCCAATAGAAATATCAGTGGATGCTTATCCCATTATTCATAGGGCGGGGTAAAGCAGGAAAATATTTCCCCCCATATTGGCTTTTGTACCTCATTTGAAGCAGGGATAACTCTAAAGAACCTCTTGATGCAAAACTATGTGTCCTTAGTAATTAAACTAGGTCAGCCATTTACCTCTAAGTCGCCAGAGTATGGCTCGGCAGTTTCTAGAAGCACAGGGATTTATTCATTAGGAAGTGTGAAATTTGCCCAAGGACTGTGCTCAACAGCTCTGATGCCAAAGTGGTTGTTCATTAGCACTTGGGTTTTAACACAACTGAAGGGTATTAAACCGCCTGCATTGTTGGCTAAGCCCACAGAGGCTGTCATGTCTTTCTCTTTAAGCTGCTTGGGAAAAAAACATTTTGGTTTTTAAATAACTTCCTGGGCATCCATAAGGCAAATGCGCAAACAATGCATGGAGACTGAGTCGGAGATCAGTTTTCTCGCAAAGTTCTGGCCAGGCTACTGTTTTCCATTTGCCTCCACCACAATCCCTGGATCCCTTACTTGCCTTTCTCTGTCTAACTTTTAACCTGATCTCCATGGAACACACCTCTTAGGCCTTCCTATCCTTGGGCTGCAGCACTGCACTACAATTGAAAATAAGATTTTTGCATGTTGTCAATATGTTTTATGAAAATGTTTATAAATTTGAGTTTCTAAGGAGAGGCAAAGTGCAGAAAAGCCTGGGCTTACTTACACATTTTAGAATTGGGGCTCTCCTCCTCTTTAGCTGGGAGGGTTGAACAAAGTCTTGGCTTCTTGTGTGCCCAATGGGGATAATTCCTCAGACTAGTTATCTCACAGGGTTTAACTGAGCCTACAAGGAAGTATTAAAGGGCTTCCAAACCCTCATGTTTCAGTATTCGAAAACCACCATCCAGCGGTTTGGTTTTCCAGTCCAACAACTACAGCATTTATTAAATAAGATCTAAGAATGGCTGTGGGGAGGAAATAATGTGACATGCAACAGGTGTATGTGTGACTAAGGCGTGGTATGTATGCACACAGATGTATGTGTGAGCAAATGACACAAAACATCTTTGAACGGGAGCAGTACTTTCCTTTGGGACTTTGTTCTATGAGATTCTACAATATCAAATTTAGCTTTTGCATCTTACCCGAATTTTTATTTGCAACCTGATAGATGAACTCAGTTTAGGATCAATTTTATGAATTATCTATAGATGGATTATGAGCCTGGTGAACCTTATTTATGGTGCGATTGATGGTAGGTGGGATATTACGTAGAACAGTATTTACAGGGCATGAAGTCTTGGTTTTGATTCTTTTCATGCCTCAAGAAGGAGTTGTACGGATAGTCCATTTTCTGGACACAGCTAATGCCCTAATGCCCTAATGCCCTAAGAATAATGTGAACATTAGTCTCCAATCTTAATCAGCTTGGTGTTCAGAAAGCAAAATCCTGGTGCTGCATTGGTACAAATTCCAAAAGACCCCTATCTCTGTTTATGCTTCACAGAGCAGAGGTGGTACAGACCTGTGGATCTTCGTCGTGCTTAGAAGCCACCTGGGAAGACAGGTGCACACTCTGGCTTGCACCCCATTTTTGCATTCAGAAGTTCTAGGAAGGGTCTGAGAAATTGTTTAATTTTCATTAGCATCCCCAGTTGATTCTGTTGCAATTAACCCTTTCTCAAACTAGAAAGGGGCTGGAACTTGGTGAAAATCTAAGGATCTGAGCCCCTGGACCTGCTTCTGTGGCATGGACCTAACTTTCTCTTAACCGTGTTGCATGTCACATCATTTCCTTCCCAAGGGATGTTTTATTTTTGTTTCCTTTGACCCCCTTTTTTTCTATGTCCTATTATTCAATATTGTTCTGTTTTTATTAGACTTGAACTTACATAGATGAACTAGAGCTCAGGTAGAAGTCTATTACCCTCGCTCCTTTTTTTTTTTTTTTCTTTTTATTTATTTATTTATTTATTAATTTAATTTTTTTATTTTTATATTCCCCAAGCAATTGCAACCCCTTTATTTTGACCCCAATCCCTCCCCCCACCCCCACCCATCCTCGCTCTGTCTTTGAAACAGAATACTAAGTTAAACAATGGGAAGATAAAGAAAAAGATAAAAATAAAGCCAGTAAATATAAGCTAACTCTACCACGAAATTTCAGTGTACTTCTTATCCTCACATAGTTGGTGATTGTTTTATACCTCTTTCATTTAGCAAAAAGCACCTCTACCGTCATTGACAAAATGCTTATTCTTAGCGGCTTTAATGATAAAATCCTTTAACTTCCAGTAATAATTTCCTGATATGGGAAACATCACTGTTTCTCTGCAATATGCTTCTCATACCTTCTGAGCTTAAATAGAAATTTGTACGGATCTCACCAGAAGCTCAAAGAAGAACCAGGCATACTTGAAGACCGTTTCTCTCACCATTCCAGTGCTGACCACCATCTGCAGGGCAAGTTCTTCATGGAAATGCTAGACAAGAACCACAAAAACCAGTCACTGATGACAAGTGCTTTATTCACCAACAACTCTTTTCTTTTTTATCAATTGTCATAGCTTGTTAGTGACTGAGGTATGGAGGCTAGATATCTGAGACCACAGGTGGTTAGCAAAGTCAATACTGAAGTAACCTGAGACTGGACATTTAGGGAAGTTGGTGGTGGTACCTTGCAGCAAAGCTAGGTTTGAAGAAATGGCCTCAGCACAGGTGTGTGAAGGTGAATTTCGGGTGAGCAGTCCGAACTGAGACTTCTGTGACTTTCTTCTAGATTATGCTGTAAATTCACTGGGTGACCATGTGCAAGTCACTCCTCTCTCTTTCCCTCAGTTTTCTCATTCAGAAACTCAGTTGGTTGGCAGCAGTACTTCTCAAATTTGATGTGCATCAGAATGCCCTGAGGGCTTGTTAAGACAAAATCACTGTGCCCCACCCAAGTTTCAGATATTGTATAGGTCTGGGGCAGGGCCTGAGAAATTTCATTTCTCACAAGTTCCTAGGTGATGCTGGTCTGGGGCCCTCATTTAGAGAAGCACTATCTAGATGATATCTAAACTCCCTTTTAGACTGGACAATTGTTTTTATAATCCCACTATAGCTTCGTGGGATGCGTGATGAGATGGGTTTATGAGTAGATCTTCTGCATTAAAAAGAAGAGTGGGAGGGCCTCCCCGGTGGCACAGCAGTTGAGTGCTGTGTTGCGAAGCTGCCCGCACCCTCTGCGGCGCCGGTTCGATCCTCGGCTGCTCCCCGGCCACCGGAGGAGGGTCCCACATGGCGCTCAGACCTCTCCTGCCACCCGCTGCTCCCCTCAGCAGTGTACTTCGGTCCTTCTGCCTGCTCTGCTCCCCACTCTGGCTCTGGTGGGTTCTCTCACCCTCCCGCGCTTCTGACTGTGCCCAGTGCATGTATAAACAAAACAAACAAACAAATAAATAAATAAATAAAAACATGCCTCTATAAAAAAAAAAAAAGAAGAGTGGGAAACAGCCTGAACTCATACAAATTCTAAATTCCTAGTAGGGTCAGATGCTCAAAAGTTCCTCAGCTCTGTTTTATGTCTATACTTCTCTTCAAGTCATCTGACTATTTGATAGTAAATGTGCAGCTTTCCCATTCCCTACTTTATCTGGTTACTTGTTAATTGTTCCTTAAAACAACAGTTTTAAAGAGGAAAAAATTAAGACTAAATACAGGCAGGAAACCAAAACATTCCAGTTTGCCTGAGAATGTCTTAAAATGATAAACCTTGCATTCCAGAGACCCCTTCGATCTTGGGCAAACTGAGATGGCTTGTCATCTAAGCTAACCACAAAATGATGTCTTGGGACTTTTTTTGTGTGTGGATTTCACTCATTTCACAACCACAAAACCAGAATAAATACAGATGAATGAACTCACTGTTTATTGTTTAGTGGATGAGAAAGCAAACACGACTTGAATAACCCTAAGATAATATCCCAAAGTACTGACTTATATGGACACTAACTTTGAAAGTCAACACCCAAATCAAAAATTGATTATAGCAAAGATTGCCCTTGCAAAGCTTTAATTATCAATAATATACAGTATGCACGCAACCTAATTTACTGAGTCTTATGTATATTAAAATGTGAGAGTTATTCAGCTAACCTGAAAGGAGACAAACAGAAAATCTGCATGCAGATGTCTGGGTATTTTAACTATTTGTATTCCCAGTCTGTTTAAGGTAGTGAATGGAGAATGCTTAAGTGTTTCAGCTTCTCAGTCTGTTGCATTTCATTCTGCCAGTAAGTCAAACCTTTATCATCTTAAAATGTTAACACATTTGTCTTCTGGTGAATCTTAAGTGCAGTTCTCCCCTCTGGGAGAGGCATGAGCTGAGTGTTAATCTAGCAGGTGGTCCAAGTAGGACATAATGTAACCTGGCTACACCAGGATCTTCCCATTATAGGGAAGACACACTCTGAGCAGCTTCAAATGTAACCTCTGAAAAATAGGTCAGTTTGACTTCCAGAGTCTTATTACAGCAAGGCAAGAAGAGATTAGAGAAGGATAAGCTGCTTCTTAAAGTAATTTATGCTGCTTACCAGGCAACATGATTAACAAGAACACTGTGCTCCAGAGGTTATAGAAAATAGCCAGGTAGCTAAAAACCCTGTTTGCCAAGCTATTAAGGAAACACACTGGCTAAACCTCCCTCTGAAGATGAAACAATTCTCTGCTGGTCACTTCAATGACCAGTCAACTCAAAACAACTCAAAAGCAAACATGACTGTGCTCTTGAGAAATCAGGCCAGGGAAGTCAGATTGTAGGCAAACTGTGGCTTTTCTTTTTTTCCTAATTTCTACTTTGTTTTTAGTGTTTTTTTTATTTTGAAAAAGACGAAGAAAGAGAACTTTACTTTTCACCAGTTAAAAATGACTCACTAATCCATTGATGTTAAGATTTGGGTTATGCTCACAATAAATTTTATAACATCATGTTTGTTTAAGAAAAAAAAAAAAAGTGGTACTTACAACCAGCCACTGCAAATCACTAGTCTAGGTGACAAATTTATTTCACTATCTAACCACCTCTTTCACTTAAACGACTGATGCCTGGTACCTCTCCTAGGTGCCTGAATTACTTCAGTCTTCCAGTGCCAGTCCCACTAGGGCCTCCCAATGTCTAATCCTTCCCCTACCCAGTCCAAAGTGAGTCTTGCTGAGCCTCATTTCCCCCCAGCCTGTTGAATAACCATTTCCCTGAGGTGTTAGCAGTTACAAATGTTTCCTGTGTTATCCTTCAATTAGCATATTTACACTTTAATAGACCTCTTAAAAGACACTCAAGATGTTAACTTAAGTAACTTACTAGAATGGTGAGACTTCTGGGTGCCTGGCAGAGGAGAAAACTTGGGAAGGACAGCTTTTCTCTCACCACCCCTGAGCCCACACAGGCTGTGACTGTGATTGGAGACTTGTGTTACTGTAACGATTTCTGGTAAGCAGTTGGGCAGCTTGTATGTAAAGTTTCTGAACTCACAGGTAAGACTGACAAGAAAGAATTACAAGGAAGCATTTCCTATTGCTCTGATATGCCATACTAATTATTGCCACTGGCTTTTGTTGAGGGTGAACTGTGTCCTGTACCCTTTTTATTGAAAAATAAGCTAATGCAGTGGTTCTTAAAAGTGTGGTTCTTAGACCACCATCAGATGGGAACTACTTAGATAATGCAAAATGGGGGGCCCTATAGAATTATTGAATCAGAAACATTGGGTTGGGGTGGGGGACAGTGGGGCTGGGTTTAGGGTTGGGTTAAGAAAGGAGTTTTAACAGGCCACCCAGGTACTTCTGATTCATGGTAAAGTCAGTGAACCACTAAGTTACCAGGCAGTTAGTGGTGAAAAAATGAGGGATAAGTACCAGCTCTGTGAATGGGGAGCCGTGTGTGTGGGTGTGCCAGGAGAATTGGAATAAGGCAGGAGAGCCTCCTTCGTGTCTATTCTCAATCATAGTGAGAGGGCACAGGCAAATTATCCTCACACTGCTCAGTACCTTTTTGCTGACTGGCCTGGGGACTGCAGCGGAACTGGGAACATCGTTATTGACAGAGCTATAGTAAGACATCCGGTTGCAGTTACGATCAGCAATCTGAAATACACAAACCACGACACAACAGTCAACCAACAGTGTTCACTGGAAAGATGAGCCAACCTTGGAAATTACAATCTGAGAATTCTTTTTTAGTATATTTCTTGACTGATTTTTTTTTCTGGTTACAAAGGTAAAACAACTGCCACAAATGAATATGAAACAAAGCAAAGAAGGTAAAGTTATATCTACTTGCAATTTGTTTATGATTAACAGTTATGTATGTAGCAATCTATAGTTAAAAGCTAGTTAAGAACCAGACTAACTGAACTGTAGTCCCTTCTGGGCCAGCAGGAAAAAAACATGTGGGAACAGTGCCTCTTAGTGGGTTAATGTGGTAGTGTACCCAGTCTCCTATACTCTGTATTTAATACATTAATACATAATTTAACACCTTATCAAAAAACACTTTTGAAAGGAAATTGGACAATAATTTCTCCCAATTACAAAATAATTAGAAAATTCTTAAAATCATTACTCCACATTGAAATTTAGTATTTTTACTTTTATTAAAGGAAAACATAATGATCAAAATTGCTAATGATAGTGGCAGACCAATTTCTTTCCTGGGATATCAGAAGATGGTATTGCTTAAAGGGACCTTGAACATGAGCTTGTGGCTGGTTAACAGCCGACTCTCAGGGGAAGGGACTGATATGTAACAATTGCCAATGTCCAAGCTGTAAATCCTTCCATTTCAAGTTGACATGACATCACTCAACAGATCTGGGAGGTGTATAGTTGCAAACGATTATACTGTATTTCCACTATACAGATACAACAAACATAAATAAAGATAAGAGAAAAATGTAAAATAATTCAGAAAGGATAAGGCTTGACTACTATCTTTTAAAAATGGAGTAATTCTAAATTTGTGGACAAGTTGCAAAAGGGATAGAGAATTCATGTATTCCCTTCATTCAGTTTCCTTTATCTTACCATCTTAACATTTATCAAAACAAAGAAATTAGGATCCGCACATTATCATTAACCAAGTCACAGACTGCATTCAGCTTTCACTAGTTTTTTCCCCCAATGTCCTATTTCTGTTTCAGGATACAATCCACAGTGCATTTAAATTACCTTAGTTCTTAATATATTTTATTTAATTGCTAATTCATATAATTAAATTTTAATAATGTCTGTATGTAACAACTGGTTCCAAAAATTCCTGAAAATTTAAAAATTGGCTCTTAGAAACTGGTACAAATCAGCTTCTGAACATGCCTGGGCTGATTTTTAAGTAAAAAAAAAAAAAGCGTAGAATATCAATAATTTCATGTGTTGTAACTTATAAATCATCAAACACTCTAGGGTTGGGCCCTGTGTTTTAGATGATTCTTAAGTTCGGCCAGAGTTCAGAACCTCTGTATAGGTGAAGAAAGTGAGACCCAGGGCAGGAACTGACTTGCCCATGACCAAAGGCTGGATGGTGTCAGAGCGCAGAGCCAAGCCTGGTCTCCAGATTCCCTTTCTCACAACATACCATCTCAAGTGGGTGAGTTGTATAAGAGAAACTAAGTCTAAATCTAGATTTGATTTATCCTAATCAAATGATTTTACTTTAAAAGCTTAACCATTCTGAGGCCACGGGAAACTGGAAAGAAAATTCAGACTAACAATTAGTAGCTTTGTAAAAAAAAAATCCACATGGAATTATATACTTAAAAGTGTGAACCTTATGGTATGTGAATTATTTCACAATTTAAAAAAATTCAACAAATGAGAGACATTCAACAAAATATACCTGACCAGTCATCATCAAAACTGTCAAGATCATAAAAATTAAGAAAAGCCTTAAGAAATTTCACAACCAAGAGATGTTGAAGGAGACATGATTACAAAATATATTGTGGATTCAAGAACCAAAAATGAACAGTAGGAAAAAACTGAGAAACTCAGAATAAATATCAACTTTGGTTAATACTAATATCATTATTAGTTCATTAATTGTGACAAAAGTCCCATTCTAATGTAAAATATTAATAAAAGGGAAATGGAATGTGAAGTATACAGGAACTATTCTATATTCATAAAATTTTTATAAATCTAGAGTTGTTATAAACTTTATCACAAAAAAAGCAAAGAATTGATGGCAGGAAAAACAATCTAGGGCAAATCACCAACACTCTCAGCATCTCAGTTTTTACTTGTTTATAAAATTTGGCTTTGCTCCTTGGGGTTATTATTTAGGATACCCAATCTACGGGTGTTAATGAATCTAAAAACCAGACATGAAACACAAAAAACAATCTTTCTAGGGATCAAAAAAATTAAAGCTAAATATTTTTCTGCTTGAAAATAAAATTCAGGGTATTCATTGGTTCCATGAGTTTAAACAGCTACACTCTAAAAACTTGTCATAGAGTTCATTAGTTCCAAGCAGGTCCTCCACTGCTAGTCTTATCCCTGCAACTTTCAGAATGGTCTCTAATCATTTCAGAAGAAAAGAATAATAACTCTAAAGCTGAGCCTTAAAGCATTGGACCAAAAAACAGGCAACAGCAATGGTTGATTTTGTGTTGCTTCTCCAAGTTAGTAAAAGGCCAGTGTCACTTTCCAGGATTTGCCATCTTTCCTACCTTTGAAGACATGATGTTCTTCACCTCCTCATCTGCTGCACAGTGTGTCCCTGCAAGGTCTGGATTACTGCTGCTTATCACCCGGGCCTGAAGTAGCTTGGAACTCGCAGTGGCAGCAGACACGCGTCCTAATGTACGGTGGCGGGGCTCAGGGATAGCGGTGGAGCTGCCTGTACCCCGCCAGGAGCAGACATGCCAACAGAAAGGAGATCAGTCCATTACTGGACTTGAAAGGGGATGGGTAGAGAGTAGAAATGAAAACCTACTAGATTAGGTCTTGGAATTAGGGTCTTCGTATCAAATGCTTGTGGAGGCTGGAAGGCAATGTTTTGGGGATAAGTAGGGTATAAGGCAAAAGGATGTGATGAGAACTGTGGCGAACTGAAAATACTTCTAGTAATAGACCAAAAAACAAAAAAACTATTAATATTATTCTCTTTACTTTAAAAGTAAGGAATATGGCTCTACATTTTGCTGCATTCTGCTAGAGAATTGATGAAATTATAGGGTAAACAGATTTACAAGTTTTAGTCCCCCCTCCCCACCAACGAACATTAGTTGGGATCATATAACAAGTAGAAAAATGCCAAGTTTCTTCATTTGGGTTTGGAATTTTGTGAACTTGTTATACTTTTTATACCATGCTGATCAAAAGGTCTGCTTGATTACTACCTATGTATGTAATTAGCAAGTTGGGAGAAATAGGTTTTTATTGTTTCAAAAGTTTAGTGAGGGGGGAAATGAAAAATGGATTTTTTTCATAGTGAAAAATTCAGGAACCACTGCTTACCACTGCTATCAAATATACATTATTTTCTTAGCATTATTATCCTGACATCCTTGGTATGCACTTCATCTTTGTAAGAAGAGTTTCAACTGAATCAGAAATTACCACCTGGGTAAGTGACCAGCAAGGAATTATCAAATAGAGAGGCAAAGTAAGTGCTTAGAGTATAAAAAGAGGAAAGAAGAGAGGAAGAAAGCAGGGGAGAAAGTCTAGAAATAAACTTTGGATTTCAGCATTCATGAAATTTTGTGTCATGCTGAAAATGTCATTTTTCAATTTTACTTTAAATGATGTGGCAATGGGGTGGGAATTGAGGGTGCCTTGACTCCCCACACTTAGGGTGATGCTACCTGACTTGGGCATGTCCCTCTGCACCTCCGGCAGGCGGAAAACGTAGTGCACGTAGGAGGCCAACAAGCAGTTCCTCCCGTGTAGGTCTTTGCTCAGTTCTTTGCTGTTGTGCAGACTGTTAGCGATGGCCACCACGGATTCGAAGGCAAACTGGGAGAAATTGGCTGAGGAATCAAGAGAAAAATGATAGCCCCACAGCTGGTCCTTAATGAACCCTAGGTGGCACGTTCTCCAGGCACTAACCAACCAAAGCAGGTAGGTCAAGAAACAGCCTGGTATGGGTTGAGTTATTTTAGAAGGCTCCAGCATGCCCGCTCTGACTACTGCAAACAATTGCTTCATCTTCCTCCTCCTGTCAGCGCTGTGGCTTTTCATGACAAAGACTTGAGTCTGTCCAGACATCCTCCCCTCTCTAAACCATGCTATATACGGGCATTACCCAGTGGAATCTGCAATGATGTTATCTGTATAATGCTAGAAATGCAGACCCTTAGGTCCCACTCCAGCCCTAATGAGTCAGAATCTGCATTTAACACAACGCCCTGGTGATTCTCATGCACACCATGAGAATGTGCTGTTACACAGCATGGATTCTTGGTGTACAGATCACAGTAAACAAGTCTGCACGATGTCATCCCCCCACAGTGGACCTGCACAAGTCTGTGTGCATTCACTTCTTCTGGAGGTTCCACCCTTTTTATCCAACCTTGCACTTTTTTCCTGCTCAAATGCAACTTCCCTTAAGATCAGCTGCTACACTCTATTCTTTCACACCCCTGTGATTCTGTTCATGCTGCTGCCCTAAACTAGAAAGCCCTCCTTACTCCTACCTGCAAAATATCACCAATCCTTTGGTGCTCAGCACAATCCCATCACCTCCACAAAAGTCTCTGATGCCATCCAGTAAAAGTCTCAAGGGAAACCAATCACAGGGTCCTGTGTCTATTTCTGGGAGCAGGCTGGAAGCCCTTCTGGGGTAAAGTACATTTCTCATAACTGTCTCCCCACTGTGTTTTCCATAGATCCTGTCACAGCTAAGTTCTGAATAAACGCTTGTAGACTAACATCTTCTCTGCCTATCCCAACACCCTGCTGTCCCCACATGGCTTGCTATGGAGAAGTTCAAATGAAGTTTTTGTCTACTGAACTAGTCAATATGAAATAGCTGGAACACAGAGTGTGCCAGAATGGGCATGGGAGCAATAGAAAGAAACTTAGGGAAACAGTAGTCTCCACTCCGCAGGAATCTAGCTGGAGAGGTGACAGCTACACCTATGAAAAGTTAACCTACCCCATAGGATAGCTTGTCTGTGGAACCACAGAAGATGCATGCCTGGATATGCAGCAAACAGGGATTAAGAGGATATCCTAGCCAATGAGCTCAGCAAGGTCCTCCCACCCAGACTAATTCAGTCATTCCACAACCCAGCTGTACTTATGTCTTTCCTGATGCTTCCATGCTTTTCTGCTTCTCTGCTTTTGACATGTTCATGTCACTGTCCCCGCTTCTGTCTGCTTTTCTTCTACCCTTCTTTGAGGGTGAGAGGGTTCACCAGAGCCAGAGTGGGGAACAGAACAGGCAGATTGACGAGAAACACACTGCTGAGGGGAGCAGCAGGCGTGGCAGGAGAGGTCTGCACACCATGTGGGACCCTCGCAGGTGGCCGGGGATCGAACCGGCATTGCAGAGGCTGTGGGCAGCTTTGCAGCCCAGCAGCAGCCCAGCGCTCAACCTCTGTGCCACCAGGGGAGGCCCTAGATGGATGTTTTCATGGCCCCTCTACCACAACAGGAAGGTGTCCTTTGAGGACTTCTGTCCCGTGCTACTGCTCTGTTACAGTGTAAGTCCCTGGAGGTCTGACATGTTCTGGATTTGTTGTGATGCCTACAACTCAGCTTAATTCTAGGTCCTGGATTTGCTGACACTGGATCATTTAAGCCCAGCTGGAAACTATGTCAAAGATGGCCTACAGCAGCCAGTCTACTGTATGAGGCAGGAAAACCACAAGAGCCAGTTTGAAAGTATTTCTAAAGGCAGTTTTATAAACTGTATTTGTAGTCATTTTTTTTAAAAAAAACAGGCATTTAAGATATACTTTAAGATAGAAAATAGATGAGTGGTTGCCAGGGCCTGAGGGGAGGGGTGAATGGGGAGTGAATGCAAAAGAGATCAGGTTTCACTGGGGACTATAAAAATGTGGGATTACACTGTAGGGATAGTTGCACAACCTTGTGAATATAGTGAAAAACACTGAATAACATACTTTAGTGATTTTTATGATATGTGAATTAAATATTTATAAAAAAGTGACCACCTTGAGTTTCAATTTAGAGAATTCCTTCCCCTCCATAGGTTGTGTACTGCCTTGTTATATGTCCTTTTCAGTCAAGAAAACAAAAATAGGGCCTCCCTGGTGGCTCAAGGGTTAAGCACAAAACTGTGAAGCTATCAGCAGACACTGCAGTACAAGTTCGACCCCCAGCTAGCCATGGAGCTACCCACATGGCGCAGCAGACCTCTCCTGTCTCACCTGCTGCTCCCTTCAGCAGTGTATTTCAGTCAATCTGCCTGTTCTGTTCCCTACTCTGTCTCTGGTGAATCTTCTCACCACCCCCACACACACCTCTGGCCTTTACTCCAGTTCTTATATGCATAGATAAAAATAAATCTTAAAAAAAAAAGAAAACGAAAATATTTTAGAGGTAAAAGAAAGTCATCAATAACCAGGAGTGGAATTTAAAAGACTGTCCATAATCAAACAATACATTTTTATTTTTAAAACCATAATTTCAAACATGCTATTTTAATATTATTTTTTCTAAAAATAAATTCAGGGAGTCTCAAAAAAAAAAAAAAAAAAGCACTGAAATTGACCTTCCTGGATTCAGATTATCAAGAGAAAGGAAGGTCACATTGTCCCTGTTCTATGGATTTCTGGAAAAAAATTTCCTACTGCCTGCCTTCTGTTGCCTTTTCCCAGCCTCACAGGCCTCCTACCTGTCTGGCCGGCAATGACCATGGGCTGCACAGACAGCTGGAAGAGCTTGTTCAGAACCAGGTGCAAGAAAAGCACAAGGGGCTCCAGACGGGAGGAGTTGAGGCAGATGATGCTGAGCTTCAGCTCATGCTCCAGCATTGTCTCAGAGATTTTCTGATCCAGCACACGGATGGGGAAGGTCACCTGGCTCTCCAGAGAGTGGCAGAGGGTGAAGAACTTCTCCAGGTGATTGTCCTGGGAAGGCAGATGTCAGGCCTCAGGAGTCTCATCAAAGTTGTGGGTGGATTCACAAATACAAACAACCCTTTAGAAGCAGAACCTCTTACCAGTGTTTCAGACTAGAAGGTCTAAGACACAGCTGTTTCAGACCAAGGTATGAACTGCTCTGTAAAGCGATGTGCACAAAATAGAACCTCTTGGTATTTATTAATGAAGAATAGTTTGAACTCTGACAATTTCTGTAAGCAGAGACCAGTGTACCAGCTAAATATACTGCTTATATTAGAAGAATGGAGTCTAAACAGATTTAAAATGCAGACAATAGTAGAAAAAAGCGGAAAGTAGAACTTTAAAAATAAAAAAGCTGGAAACATGGCAGAATTGCTGAAGGAAATGAGATAACAGCAGGGAAATGTTTTAACCAAGGACTTCTCAGCCCCCATGGGCTCCTTCATTTAGCTGTTCAATATTTCTGTGAGTTTCTTCTACGAATGGGCTTGTAAGACCCCACAAGAACTAAAGGTTATTTTTTTTATTTTAGCTATATACAAAGATTTTCACTGACATTTTATTGGCCCTTCGTTACAGGGCTCTGTGCTGTACTCCCATCTTCATTAGTAACCTTCTGGCTCTCATTTGAAGTTGACCTTGATGTTCCTTACCTGGGTATGAACAGAAGAAATAGCTTGCACTTCAATATTAAATACTCCCTTATGTCCTTCAGCCCACTTAATGGGAGGATTCTGTGGAGGGACTTTCTGTTTAAAAAAAAAAAAATGATTAGCAATCCAATCCCCTCTCCTGATTACTAAAAGCAGAATGAAGCAACTTGACTATAAATGTTAGGATTATACACATATAAAATTCCCTAGAAAACAAATATAACTGGCCTTCGAATTAGCTACTCTTGGGTTCAGGTGGAGTTCTATCCCCAAACTCTGGAGGTCTTTGTTTTCTCACACTTGAAGGAGGGGCTTGAACTGAATGATCTTTAAATTCCCATCCAGCATTGATAATCCTTAATTCCAGGAGTCGAAATAACATTTACATGATTTTCCATTTAGTTAATAATATCAGGACAAAGTATAGAATATTTTTTTCAGACATGAAAGCTTAGTGTTTTTGAGTGCAATAACTTCAATTTTAGCAAACTATTTCCAATTAGCAGTCTAAGGTTCTTGCTTTAACTTAAAATGACTCACTCACATACTATTTATTTATCACTGTATCTGTATTGATAGTCTATTTAGAGGCTATTTCTTGCCTAAATTCTCAGTGGAATAATCTTATTGCTTGGCATGCATTATCTTATTTAATGTTTGCAGCAACCTTGTAGGCTGGAATGGGCTCAGTCTCATCTTTGAGAGTAAGCAATTCACCACGTTCACAAAGCTAAGGTGGCCCATTCTGGACTTTGGATCAAGATTAGTTTGTCTCCAAAACTCAGGTCGCTTCTGCAGCATGAAAAAGATAATTGGTAGAAATTAGCATGCACAGCTGATGATGGAAAGTTGGTTTTGAAGAAAGGGACTATGTGCCCAATTCACAGAGAATAATTAGGGAATGTCTGTGATTACACACAGACATTACACACCTGAAACAGATCTCAGGTGATACTGAAGAGAGTAATTTTGGTATGAAGCAGGCATATGCTTGTGGCCCCACACTAAAGAAACCTCTCTGTAGAGAATTAAATGAATAAGGAAGATACAGAAGAACCTTGGGGTGGGAGATTGGTATAAAATGAACTGTGATGGTTGAAACTAAATTCAAATTCCTAGGAATTCCTTCAACTTGAAAATGGCAAGTAAGACAAAAGCAGATGAAGGGGGAGATATAGGCTAAAAAAGTCTAAAAGACATGTCAACCAATAGCAATGTGTGGACCTTATTAGATTTTGATTCAAATAAACAACTGTAAAAAAAATGGCATTAATGAGATAATTGGAAATTTGATCAATAGACAATGGAAGATACTATGGAGTTGCTATTAATTTTTAAGGTATGACAATGATATTGTCACAGTGTAAAATTCCTTAACTTTTAAGATAGATACTAAAATGTTTATAATTAAAATGCCTGGAATTTGCTTTGAAATAATACTTATGGATGTAAACCTACACCAACCAGACTGAGAAAATGATAGCAGTGGCTGGTGTGGTCAGAATGGAGGGCCCACTTAGCTGGCTTTAAATGGATGCTTGCAGTACAGGAGTGTAGGAGACAGGGAGAAGAAAAAACGGCTGGCATCATTTACCTGGGGACAATGACAAGTGACCCAGATGAGAAAATGATAGAACTTGGAACCTTTTATAAGTATCTGTGTTTAAAGCAGTATTGTCATAAGGGGGCTCTATTTGCCTCCCTTTTCATAATACATTTTTCTGTGAATTTCTTTGTTGTAGAAAATGGCAAGGTAATTGTGGCGGTGGCTACAGGTTGCATTTATTAAACATTCTGAACTTGTGATTATCTAAATGACTGAGGCATCACAACCAATTATTTCTCACATCCTATCAGAACAATGAGCTGTCAAAAAACACTATAGGCTGAAAGATAACTGCTCTGTAAAACAGGCTGAGCATCCTTGGGAATGGCAAGTGGGTACAGGAAGGTGAGCCAAGACCACAGCTGGACAGGAAACAGCTGAGGGCCATCTTGGTGTTTACCTCTGCAGAATGCATGGAGTAGTTCGGTGGAAGCCTTTCCAAGGCAACTGGGAGACAGTAGGATCCTGTTTGAAGACGTTCATTTAAGAGAATTGGCAGCCACTGAAACAGATGATGTAAAGAATAAAATGGTATTTATCATAGTGTATAATTCTGGCAATTTATCTAGCTCACAATAATCAAATGCAACTAAATGATGATTAGATATTGACTAGATTTCTTTTGGCAGTAATTTCTGTCGAGTTCTTTGCATTTTCAATTCGCTGAGAACTCCTGAGATGGTAATATCAATGATTTACCTCTGCCAGAGCCAAAGGAGTAGCATTTTTCTTGATAGCCAATGTCTATGTGTGTCTGAACAACATCAATGTTTATTTTACCACATATATAAACATAATATATATATATTTACATTTTAAAAGGAAAGGTTTATTAGGAAAAGGAGAAAGTAAAAAGAGAGGTACCTGCATAGATACAGGTGGGCAGAAAGCTGTCTTTCACATTTGTTTTAAAGAAATAACTTTTTCCCCTTGGGGAAAAAATATCTAGTTTTATAAGTAAAATTTGCAAATAGTGAACACTGCAATGCTTACTTATACATGAGTTTCCTTTCAATATCTATCACTCATTAGCTTTCCATTTCTGAAATTTGTCGTTTGCTATGTCAAGTCATCTCTATTCCTTGCTGTAATCTGGTTTGGCACATTTTGCTACTTCTGACAGGAGAAAAGCAAGCGAATAGAATTTTGTTGTTTATCTCTGCAGGGACCTTGGATGCACCAATAATTGCAGTGTGAATAAGCAAGTTGAAAACAACTCACTGAATATCCTACGAGACTTTCTACGGAGGCTCCTTGCTTCTGCTGACAGCTGATATGATAGAAGGTGAACAGGAGGTGGTGATTTACTGTGAGCTTGGCAGGGAGTTTAATTTTCACTTCTTCATAAAAGTCAGGAGACCTGTTTCAAAAGCACATTATACACGAATAACTTTAGTAAAAAGGATGACTTCTCTGACTAAAAATTGTAATTCTGAGGACCCTTTGCTCCTTGGACTTTGCTGTTGGGTGCTTTACTTTTCACTTTACATCATTCTACCCCTAAGATCAGAGTCCTTGAGGCCAAGCTTAAGTCACTGGATACACTTCACTTACATAAGACGGCTCACAAACCGGCGACTTAGTCAGGAATAAAAAATCCCTGCACACAATGGAAAAACCCAGCAGCTTAATTTGAAAAGGGATGAGGTTCACAGTCCTGCACTGACCTCCTTTTCTAGCTCCAGCCCAAGAGCAGGGACTGGCACATGACCAGCACTCATCAAAAGATTTTGGAGAAATGAATGATGCAGGAAAACGAACTTGATTTTACGGAAGGACAAAGTCCCAGACTTTACCAAGGGCTTCATGTACATTACTCATTTAATCCTCATCCTAATCCAGCGGGTCCAGAGAAATACTTAAGTCAATTGAGGTTATTAGACCAGGATGAAACCTGTGTCTGTCTGACCCTGTACGGATTGCCTCCCTGCCTGTGAAATATGAACAATAGTTAAAATGCTATTCTGTGCTCACCTTCCCCACATACTGAATGTTCTATTTCTCCTTTGGTCAATTTAAATGTTCTTAAAGTAGGTAATGGGCAGGAGTGGAGAAGTATATTTTAGACAAGAGAGAGAGCAAGGAGAGCTAGATTTTGTGTTCCTTCCCCTCCAGTATCTCAAAGCAAGTTAGGAAATTAACTCTTTATTAAAATAAAATTTCTGTTATCACTCTAGACTAGAAGGCTCCAGAAAAATCCAAATAGTATTAAATTTTTGAAGATGCCATTTCCCAGTCTTAGTTAATGGCAAAAATTATTCATTTCTAAAATAGAGTCACGGAACTGGCATGAACTACGGTCCTGGCATTATAAAAACAATTGTGGGAAATCACCAAGGGGATTCAGAAAAAAACAGAAGATAATAAAACAATGTTGGGATATTTTTAGAATTCTGAAATATACTTACTTATTATGGTATGTGATAGCTGTATACACTTCCTGCAGAAATTCAGGCCCACTGGATTTTCCAAAGATCACCTGTTTACCAATATAGAAAGGACCAAATTAACAGTGGTATTTTCATATATCAAATCAACTGTCATCAGCCCAATATGATGGTCTGCTGTCACAGGGCTGTATTTTGTAAATCAGGAATGCTGAGTTCTACAACCAACCCAACCACGCTGGTATAGAAGAACTGGCTGTAAAAGGTAAACTGCGGTCCCAAGGAGTTACACTAGTGACCAAGGGTCACAGGTTTGTGGAAATGGAAAGTTAGTGCTCCCCCTACTCCACCTCACTGTCTAAAAGTCTGTACTATGAAGCAAAGTGACCTGGCTTTGCTTTCAGTGAGCCTGAGGGCCAGGCTTCATGTCCAAAGACACGGATCTGGTCACTGGGGTGATCAGGACCTTCACTAGCCTGTCCACGTATTTGTGCTATTTTGGAAAAATACACTCCCGTGGGCCTCATTCAGCCCTAAAGTCACATGATTTGACAACTGGATTCACCTTTGGGTAATGAAAATAAAAAGAGTCCTTTCCATTATACACAGTAATAACCATGTCAGCTCCCAGGGTTTGGCAGTTGGTGAGAGGCTGAGTTTAGCCCGACACAGGCCTGCCTGGGCACCCTGGCTACATTCAGTATCCACAAATCTGTAAATGGCAACCCTGGTGAACTTGTCCTGGGGCTAGAGCAGAGAGAATTAGGGGAATCCTTTAGGATTTCTTTCCCACCACTGTTATTAATAGACACCTCACACTGGGGTAGTAGATGGGACATTGGGAGGATGGTTTAAGAAAAAGTATTTGAAGAATACTAGAAATACTGGAAAAAATTACTTCAGTAGAAAGGTATACTAACTGAATTCCATGACTTGGGGAAAATAGGAATAGCAAACAGCCCACTTCATTTAGTGACAGGTGGTTAAAAAGTACAAATTCTGGTACTTTGAGTTACTTAAAGAACACTACATATTTATTCTTTAACTTATATTATACTTCAGAATGAAGATCCTATTTTAAAATGTGTTGAGACGATGAATGTTTGTTATTACTATGAAGTCCTTTATATTTTTCTCCAGATGTGGCACTGCAGTGCACACCTGGAAGCACAGCAAACAAGGCTGACACACTGGGCTCTGTCTCTACTTCTTACACTGCTAGGGTAGTGTGGAAAGACTTTATGATATTTTTTCATTCTTCTAAAATGATCTACATCTCCAAATATCACTATGTAATAAGTTAGGAAAGAGAGCTTCCAATTTAGAGTGACCCTGCTTCCCCATCAGCATCCTGGGACCAGCATTGGGCCACAAAGACCTTTGCACATGCTGAGCAGTGAAGGCCTGAATAGACACACCTGTATGCTGAGGAGTCCCAGACTCTGTGTGATGTGTGAGTTGACAAGGGAAGTTCAGCCCACCCACTCTCATTTGAGGCAAATTTTTATCGTCCTTATTACCGGCATAGCATAGCTGGCATCCTCTCCACACATAAACTGGATCTTTATGGTAATGTTCCGGGCAGATGCTAGTTTGTTAGCAAAGTTAAGCCTCTGTGGGTAGACGTAGAGAAGGTTTCTGGAAAAAGAAAAGATGAAGCATCAGTGAATAAGGTCTAGGGTTTATTTTAACAAGTTCTTCAGGGAATGCTAAAGACTGCACTAATGAGGGCAATATTCTAAAGGAGGTTCCACTTTCAGAAGTGAATTATTTTTGGAGGAGTGAGTTACGGTTGAGTCTTCTGCTTCAGCTATCCTCATCCGATAATAACCAACACTGTTCTCTCTTTGACTACAGATAAAGATATGTCTGCTGCAGCTGAGAAATGTGGAGGTCTAGGAGAGGTAGTATATGTTAGACATCAAGATAAAATGAAAGCTTGCTTTAAACAAAATTCACGGATGTAGATAATGTTCTGATTTTCTCTTCCTTTTTTTCCTTTCTTATAATTAGGTAATAGTTTCAATTTCTCAATGGCATGGTTTAATATCTTTTTTTATCTAAGATGACAGTTCAGACCTCCAAGCACAATTAGTTATATAGCAATAACACAACAATGGTAATATGAGAAGTAAAGCCATACAGGTACTACGCTCACTGTAGTTTCGCATGTATTTTTCTTTCTATCTATATTATTGCTAGTGTATTTCACTAATGAGGGCAGGGATCCGATGTTTTTGATTTAGTGATGTGTCTCCTGCAGCTAAAATAGTGTCCAGAACATAGCACGGCTATGTAAATCTTTGCTGAATAAAAGAATGAAAGTATATATTTTTGGTAAATCATACACCTGATTTAAGAAACCATAATGATATCAACAAGTGTGTGAGGAAGAGGAGGGGGAAGAGGGTCGGTGAACAAACATGATCAGAAAAGACTGGGAAAGCCAAGATAAACAGGTGCATCATGAATCTTAGCGGGAGAACAACTGCTCCTTTCCCCAAGTGTTTTATTGATTTATTCTTTTATGGTATATGTCACAATTTTAATAGTTGGAGATATCACCTGAGAAAACACTGAAATAAACTCATCTGGCAACAGGAGAACATCCCATATCAATGTCATCATAATAATGATGACAGGGCAGTTGATAATGGTGGAATGCAAAGTGTATGAGGCACAGACCCCTCTCAGCTCACTCTTGTTCATTCCTTCTACCATCACTCCCATCAGCAGTGATAATATTTATGGAGGGTAACATTGGGAAGTGTTTAAGAGTGCTGGCTCTGGAGCCAGAGTTGACCCTGAGCAAGTTACTTAGTGTTTTCAAAGCCCTTATAATTGCACCTGCCTCAGAGAATTGTGGGGAACATTAATGAATAAGAACTTAATAAAAGATAGCTCTGATGATGATGATTTCCTCCACAGAGTTAAGAGGTCAATTCCATCCCAGCCTCCATTCCAAATCAGCCTTATCGCTCACTTGGATCACTACAGTGATCACCTGACTGAGCTCAACTTCTATACTTGCCCATTACAACTGAGGCTTCATGCATTGCTCAGAAGGATCTTTCAAAAGTGTTCAAGTGATTATTTCAGGGTTTGCCAAACTTCTTATCAGAGGACCTACATGCCCTGGCCCTTGGCAACTTCTCTGATTTTACCACACATCAGTTTTCCCCAATGGCCTTTTAGCAAGTCCTAGAACATTCCACACTTATTCCCACCAACAGTGGGCTTCTGTATCCCATGTTCTCCTGCCTCACATATCATATCTGCAAAGAAGTCTTTCCTACCATGCCATTTAATTGGTCCACTCTATTCACATAAACTTTTTAATAATAATACAATTATGTGATTATGAAAGTAGTATATGGTTATAAAAATAATATATATCCTGTTTGTCTATCCTGGATCGTTGAAAAGTTAAGAAAGAAATATAAAGAATGGAAATAAATAGCAACTACCCAATATCCAACTGCACTGAGGAAATCCAGTTCACTGTTAAGACAATCATATTTTCTTTTAATCTTTTCCCCTCAAGCCATTAAACATTTTTATCATATAAAGTTTTATCTTGTTTTTGTGTCATTTAATGTTCAATTATGGCCTTTTCTCAATGTGGTTAAATATTCTTAATAAACATGATTTTAATGGTTACATAATATTCCATATTATCACTGTGCCATAATTTATACTAGTCTCCAAAAAATAAACATTTAGGTTATTTTCCATCTTTTAATTATAAAGCTGTGATGAATCATTTTCTGTATCTTCCTCCTCTGCAATGCAGCATTCTTTTGAAAGAATCCCTTTAAGTTCTGTATAGTTCCGTTTCTTCATCTTCAAATTAACTGAAAAGACACCAATCAACCTCTCTTTATATTGCGCTTGAAGAAATAATGAGTCGGAGTTTGTAAAAATGCTTTGAAGTAGCTGGATGAAAGGGGCTATGTAAATCAAAATAGCACTAGTCCTGCCAGACTGGGTAAGCAAGTTAGCTGTCACAAAGCTCCTCTCCTATATCCCAAGACTGAGTTGCTGCCTCCCAGTCCCACACACCTCCAACACTGGGAAACAATTTTGCAGGCCCCTGTGTCCAAACATGATTAGAATGGGGATTCAATATTCTGCCCCACACTAAATGCACTTTCTATAGAGCCCACAGATGGAAGGAAACTTTGAGAGAAGTTTCTCCAAAATCCCTTTTTACAGACCAGGAAAGTGACTCTCAAGGAGGTTAAGTGACTTGTCTAAAAATTTTTTTAAACATGCATTTCAAGGACCATTGTATTTCTTATTCATCAGAAACATAAGTGAGATGTTTTGTTAAATGTACGTGCTTTAAAGAAATGAGCATAAGAAAATATTTTTTTTTCTTTTGGGAAAGAGGATCTATGTATACGGTCAATAATTCACAGTGCCTTAACCAAACAAGACTAATTATTAAGAAACTGATTAAAAAGCTTATATGTTTTATATGTGATAAGTTCAGGACCTCCTACTAGCTAGAGAAATTCCTAAGAATTATGATAATGATTTTTTGAGAGGGTAATCCATAACCCAAATAAGACTCACTTTTTATGGCAAAGTTACGTATGCTGCTTTAGGAAACACAGGTCCAGTGTATGTGTCAGGAGTTGCACATATGAGTGCAATGATGGGTGTCATCTCCTCTTTCCAAACACAGAAAAAAATAGTTTTCTTCAACTATATGCATCAATCATAGACAGAACTCTCAGTATTCATCAATAATTTTCATTCTGAACCACTTCAGATGGCTTCTCTTGATTCAAACTGTTTTAGAAACTCCAACTTCCTTCTACTTATTTTGCAACAGCTACTCAATTCATTTTTAAGCTGCTGTGATTAAGTAGCTCCAGGAAGTTAGGAGGTAAATTGGGAAATCTGGTCTTTTTTAGACCAAATTGTGACCAAACCCTCTTTGCTTTTTACCATCTTAGGAACACCTTCTCTTTCCTTTCCTAAAAACAGGTTTATCTGAGCCACCTAGAAACCTTTCAAATCTGTAATTTAAAAAAAAATCAGCTTCGTTTCCCCTTGGCTTAGCCTCTTCTTTTTCCAGTGCAAGGAAACAAAGAGAAAAAATGCCACTGTTACTTATTTCCAAGATGACATTAGGGGGTTCTACAGCTTGGAGTAAAACTCAACCTACAGCTTGGAGTAAAACTCAAGAAGCAAGTGAGCCACAACAAAAAGCACACTGGCCACCCACTGAGACAAGTGGACACTTGGAGTACCTGTTTAGGTGAACGTCCAACATAGTGAGTCAACAGCTGAGAGGACCCAAGAAGAATGCTTAGCAGCTCAGCGAGAGGAATGAGCTCTCCATAAGCTCATTGCTGCGCTCCAATGTCAGCTGGTTGCAGGGATGGAATGCAGGGAGAAATCTAATGGGAGGCTAAAATTGCCAGGCAGATGGAGGAAGCTGCCTTTTCAAGGCAGGTGGGCTTTCTCTGACAACCATCATGGATATCATGGTGAGTAGACCACTACTGATAATTTGAGCTGACCATGGTTTTAACAGATTGGAAAAGCAGTCACGAAGGTGTATGAAGTTATGGTTATTTCTCTTGAGAAAAATCCTGGTTTAGGAAAGCAGTGGGACAGTTTAACTCTTTGTGATGCAAATACTTAGTGTCTCATGTTGCTGACAGTGGCAACCTGAATCATATTGTGTCATTCATTCTCACACCTGCCACTAAAGCCTCCTATTCTCTGAGAACATCTAGCCTTCTATTCTCTAAGGACAACTTATAGGGCCTTGGAAATCCCCCAAAGAGCCAAAAGATTAACTAATTGTTCAAGGTCAAGTGGTCCTTGGTTCTTTTACATATCTCTTTGAAAGTAAGACTGAATGAAGTGAGTTAAATGGCAGATACTCATTGCATATTATTGAGTGAAAATTTAGAATATAAAACACTATGTGTGAGAAGGCTCTAAGTATTCCAAAATTGAATATTCATGAAAGGTGAAGGCAGAAAAATGAAAAAAGTAGGCTTGATTTAGAAATAGAATTATTATCAATTATGGTATTCTTTCTGTTTTTTCACTCTAGAATGTGTAACAAAGTAATAATATCAACCATGTACTTTTTAAAAAATGGCTGATTTTGTGACCTGGTTAGGTCCACAGTCTTTTGGATTTCAGTAATGCCCATAACTTCAGCTGCATTTATGTCAGGGAAGAAGGGCTTGTATGGAGATCTGTGATTAGTGGCCCTTACCCAATAAGATAACGGTGGAAAGATTCTCAAATGTAAGGTGGACAAATCAATCTTCACCTGTAGTAACATTGCAGTTAAGTCTCAAATGCAATGATTTCCAAAAAGTACTTTGTAAACTGCAAAATATGATGCAAATGAAGATGATCTTCCTATCTGGATTCTGTAAAACAACTGAGTGGGATAAAAAATGCAACTTTAAGCACTGCAGGCCTGTGAGATCTTACTACATGTTACCTAGGGAAGTGATTCATCTCTCAGTTTCTCTCTGCATCTTTCAATTTCTCTGTCTCTCTGCATGTCTCTTGATTGTTGCTCTCTCTTTCTCGGAACATATTTAATCTGTGTTTATCTCTGCCTCTTTCAGTCTTGCTGTCTCTCTGTCTCTGTCTCT